AGGCCACTGTCCTAAGTGAATTAATGCAGAAACAGGAAAGCCAAATACCACAGGTTCTCACTTATAAGTAGGAGCTAAACTGGTTACTCATGGATATAACGATGGAAACAGTAGACACTAAGGACTAGTAGATGGGGGAAGGAAGGAGGGTGACAAGCATGGAAAAACTATGGGTACTATGCTTGGTACCTGGATTATAGGATCAATTGTACCCCAAACCTCAGCAGTATACCTGGTTAACAAACTTGCTCATGTACCCTCTGAATCTAAAATAAAAATTGAAATTATATTTTTAAAATGGCTTTTTTTCCTGTATAAGTGTGGAATATAATATAAGCATACATTTAATTTGTTAAATTAAGATTGGGTTTGCTTTCTTAAGAAGAGACAAGTTAGTCTGGGGTACCTAAACTTCTTCTATTGGTCCACTGAACATATAAGCCAACATTACTTTTACATAATATTTGGAGTAGCTAAAAACATAAAACACGTGTTCAAATAAATTGCGTCATAATTCTGACACAGTTTTTTTGTTTTTGTTTTTTGAGACAGCCTCTCCCTCTGTCACTCAGGCTGGAGTGCAGTGGAACTATCTCAGCTCACAGCAGCCTCAACCTCCCGGGCTCAAGCATCCCTCCTACGTGAACTTTCTGAGTAGTTGGGATTAGAGGCATGTGCCACCATGCCCGGCTAATTTTTTGTAGAGACAGGGTTTCACCATAATGCCCAGGTTGGTCTTGAACTCTTGGGCTCAGAGTTCTTGGCCTCCCAGAGTGCCGGGATTACAGGTGGGCATCATCATGCCCAGCCTTGCCAAAGGGTTTTATAAATGTAATTGTTCTATAGCATGTCAGTTTGAACATAATTTCAAAGATCCTCAGGTAACTTAAAATTGAGTACATTTCAGTTATAAGCAACACTGAAATACTGCTCACTGTGAATAATTTTAAGTGTATACACACTTGTTTCTTATATTTGTACACTATGGAGTTGCTGTCTTCAAGTCGTATTTTTAGTAAAAATGTTCATTTTTGCAAATTCGAGGTTTAAAAAAATTGTGCTATGTATATTGAGATTTGCTGTTCTACAAAAATACTTGCATATGATAGTTTTAAATTACCATCCTTTTAGTTTTCTCTGTGAAACTTGTTATTTTCATTAAAATTTGTGATTCATGTAGGTAGCTGACACTAAACTAAGAACAATAGTGACAGAGAAATACAACTGTGTGGCTGGGCACGGTGGCTCACACCTATAACCCCAGCACTTTGGGAGGCCGAGGCGGGCGGATCCCCTGAGGTCAGGAGTTTGAGACCTGGCCAACACGGTGAAACCCTGTCTCTACTAAAAATACAAAAATTAACTGGTTGAGGTGTTGAATGTTTGTAGTCCCAGTTTTTGGGAGGCTGAGGCAGGAGAATCACTTGAACTGGGGAGATGGAGATGGCAGTGAGCTGAGATCGCACCACTGCACTCCAGCCTGGGCAACAGAGGGAGACTCTGTCTCAAAAATAAAAATAAAAATAACAATAAAAAATAATTAAATGGAAAACCAACTATTATTCTCAGGTACGCAATATCCTATCTTAATCAAATGATTAATTTTTCTCTGAAAGCCACTGATTCTGTTTTACCACTTAAGTGGATCTTAAATTTAGAAAAAATGAGATAAAAATTTCAGGATGAGGCTGGACTTAGTGGTTCATGCAAGTAATCCTAGCACTGTGGAAGGTCAAAGTAAGAGGATTGCTTTAGTCCAGGAGTTTGAGACCAGCCTGGGCAACACAGTGAAATTCCTGTCTCTACATTCAATCAATTCATCAATCAATAAATGCCTGGTGAGGTAGTGTCTACCTGTAGTCCCAGCTACTCATGAGGCTGAGGCAGGAGGATTGCTTGAGCCCAGGAGTTCAAGGTTGCAGTGAGCTATGATTTGTGCCACTGCACTCCAGTCTGGGTAAGAGAGAGAAACCCTGTCTCAAAAAACAAGAAAAAGAATTAGGGTATTTTACACTAAAACTATCTTGGAGATTTCCCATAGGTCCCTGGAAAATCATGAACTTTAGTACAGGTATACCTTGGAGATATTGTGGGTTTGATTCCAGACCACCAAAATAAAACAAATATTGCAATAAAGCAAATCACACAAACTTTTTGTTTCCTGGTGCATGTAAAAGTATGTTTATACCATAGTTATTCTGTTACATGTGCAACAGAATTATGTCTTAAAAACAATGTACATACTTTAGTTTAAAAATACTTTATTGCTAGAAAATGCTAATGATCATCTGAGCTTTCAGAAAGTCAGAATCTTTTTCTGGTGGAGGGTCTCGCCCCAATATTGATGCCTGCTGTCTGATCAGGGTGGTGGTTGCTGAAGGTTGGGGTGGCTGTGTCAATTTCTTAAGATAACACTGAAGTATGCTGCATCCATTGGACTCTTACTTTCACAAAAGATTTCTTTGTAGCATGTGATGCTGTTTGATTGCACTTTACTCACAGAACTTTTAAAATTGGACTCAATCCTCTCAAACAGCTGCTGCTTTATTAACTAAGTTTATGTACTATTTACATTCTTTGTTGTCATTTCAACAATGTTCACAGCATCTTCACTAAGAGTAGATTTAATCTTAAGAAACTTTGCTCACCCATAAGAAGCACCACCACAGCCATTCAAGTTTTATCATGAGATTGCAGCAATTCAGTCACATCTTTAGGCTCCACTTTCCAATTCTAGTTCTCGAGCTATTTCCACGACGTCTGCAGTGACTTCTGCCACTGGATTCTTGAAACCTCGGAATCATCCATGAGGGTTGGAATTAACTTCTTCCAAATTCCTGTTAAAGTTGATATTTTGATTGCCAATGAATCATGAACGTTCTTAATGGCATCTAGAATGGTGAATTCTTTCCAGGTTTTCAATGTACTTTGACCAGATTCCTCAGAGGAATGTCTGGAAGCTATAGCCTCACAACATGTATTTCTTTTCTTTTTTTTGAGACGGAGTTTCACTGTTGTTGCCCAGGCTGGAGTGCAATGGCGCACTCTCGGCTCACTGCAACCTCCGCCTCCAGGGTTCAAGCAATTCTCCTGCCTCAGCCTCCTGAGTAGCTGGGATTACAGGCATGCGCCACTAAACCTGGCTAATTTTTGTATTTTTAGTAGAGATGGGGTTTCACCACGTTGGCCAGGCTGGTCTCAAACGCCTGACCTCAGGTGATCCACCCACCTTGGACTCCCAAAGTGCTGGGATTACAGGTATGAGCCACTGTGCCCGGCCTACAACATGTATTTCTTAAATAACAAGACTTGAAAATCAAAATTACTCCTTGATCTGTGAGGTGCAGAACAGATGTTGTGTTAGCAGGCATGAAAGCAACACTAATCACCTTGCACACTGCCATCAGAGTTCTTGGGTGACCAGGTTGTCAACAAGCAGTAGTACTTTCAAAGGTATCTTTTTTTTATTTTCCTGGAAAGGAGGTCTTAACAATGGACTTAAAATATTCAGTAAACCATGCTGTAAACAGATGGGCTGTCACGCAGGCTTTGTTGTTCCATTGATAGAGCACAGTAGGGTAGATTTAATATAATTCTTAAGGGCCCTAGAATTTTTGGAATGGTAAAGAAGCACTGGCTTCATCTTAACACCAGCTGCATTAGCCCCCAATGAGAGCCTGTCCTTTGAAGCTAGGCATTGACTTCTCTCTAGCTATGAAAGTCCTGCATTGGTCCTTCCACCAATATAAGGTTGTTTCATCTGCATTGAAAGTTTGTGTAGATTTTCATCAATAACATTAGTTAAAACATCTGGATAACTTGCTTTTTCATCAGCACCCCCTTGCACTTTTATTACAGAGATGGCTTCTTTCCTTAAACATCATGAACCAGGCTGGACGCGATGGCTTACACCTGTAATCCTAACACTTTGGGAGGCTGAGGCAGGCAGATCACAAGGTCAGGAGTTTGAGACCAGCCTGGCCACCATGGTGAACCCCATCTCTTGTTAAAATACAAAAATTAGCTGGGCATAGTGGCAGGGGCCTGTAATCCCAGCTACGCAGGAGGCTGAGGCAGGAGAATCGCTTGAACCTGGGAGGCGGAGGTTTCAGTCAGCTGAGATCGCAGCATTGCACTCCAGCCGGGGCAACATGAGCAAAACTCTGTCTCAAAAAACAAAACAAAAAGCAAAACAAACAAAAAACAACAACAAAAAACCCATCATGAACTAACCTCTGCTAGCTTCCAATTTTTTTTTTTTTTTGGCAGCTTTCTTACCTCTCACCTTTACAGAATTGAAGAGCTTTAATGGCCTTCTCTGGATTAGGTTTTGGCTTCAGGGGATATTGTGGCTGATTTGATCTTCTATCCAGACCACTGCACCTTTCTCCTTATCAGTCATAAGGTTGCTTTGCTTTCTTATCATTCGTATGTTCACTGAAGTAGCATATTTAACTTCCTTCAATAACTTTTCCTTTGCTTACACAACTTCGCTGTTTGGCACAATAGTTCCAGCTTTCAGCCTCTCTTGGCTTTTGACATGCCTTTTTAACTAAGCTTAATCATAGCTAGTTTTTGATGAAAGTGAGAGACTTCAGACTCTTCTATTCACTTGAACACTTAGAAGCCACGGTAGGGTGACTGACTGGTTTAATTTCAATATCGGTGTATCTCAGGGAATAGAAGGCCCAAAAAGAGGGAGAGAGATGGGGGAATGGCCATTTATTGGAACAGTCAAAACACACAGAACATGTATTAACTATCTTACATGGGTGTGGTTTTTGGCATTTCAAAACAATTACAGTGGTAACATAAATGATTACTGATCACAGATCACCATGAACAGATGGAATGATATTTTAAAAGTTGGAAATATTGCAATTACCAAAATGTGACACATGAAGTTATCACCTGCTGTTGGAAAAAATGGTACTGACAGTCTTGCTGGATGAAGGGTTACCAGTTATCTGCAAAGTGCAATAATGCAAAGCACAATAAAATAAAGTGTGCCTGTACTTCTTTTTATTAGTAAACATGTATTTTTAAAGCAATTCACAATTTATAGCAATACAATAGTGTGTTGTGAAAACATTAAAAGTCCTTCTTCTAAGGGTTCAGAAAACCTCACACTTACAACAATAAGGTCATGGCCGCAAGACACAGCTTGTCTGGAAACTACACATTAAATGATGTATTCTATTCAGGGACTAAATATAAAAGCCAAGGTTGAGCCATGAATACAGAGGACAATATACAAATGAGATTATCACCACTCGCTATTTGAACAGAATTAGATCTCACAGATAATTTAATCAACTTTTAAAACTTTACAGATGAGGAAAATGAAGCTCTGAGATATGAGTTTGCTGGGGTTCCTCTACTTCCTGTCAGGAATGAAAGTCAAATTCCCATTTCCCAACTCCAAGCCAGTTCTTTTCATTACACTGTGCTGCCAGTATGTCTAACCAATATGGTAGAAAGGTATTTCATTGAATGATTTCCACCATTCTTTTCCCAAAGACTAATCAGTAAGTGGTAAATGTGTTAAATTTACCACTCATTGATTACAAACACAAAGTACTATATTGCAAATAACAGAGGTTTTGCGCTTTGGTCTTTATTCTTACTTCCATTAAATACTGGGGAATCTTGGGTCATAAAATTGGTATTATTACAAAAGAGAAACGAGTAAAGAGTGGTTGCTGAAAGTTAATTTTTCTTGGCTGGTTCTTCTAAGTATATACTAGGTATTGTTATTAGCAGACTTCAGAAAGAAAAGGTTATCTGGAATTTTTTTTACCTGCCTTCCTCAACTTAGAAATTTATTTTATACTAAATCATTTTAACAAAACATCTTAGGGAGAAATTAACACAAAATTACAAATCACTCCATGTGCTTAATTTGAATTGTTATAGTCTTATGTATTCATCATATCTAATAGTCTTCATGCTAAAATTGGGATTCTTAGTAAGTCAACAAAAATGCATGACAATCTGACACAATTTCTAGGAAAACTGCAATAACTCTATGAACTTAAATACAAGTAAGTGAAATTCCTTCATTCCTTTTTTCCCAGAAATTGCATATTTTTGAGAAAATATTTATGCAAAGTGTTCCACTGAAATGTATCTCTTACGAAAGTATCTGAGTATTGAAGTATTTATCACTCATCGCAGTTAACTTACGGTAAGAAACCAATGAAATTGTTTTATTAAATGTACACATAAAAAAGCATATAAGTTTTTGACCTTCAGTTGTTTTGGAATTAAATTACATTTCGGCACCCAAAAATCTTTTAACTGACAGTTTTCATACTTTGCAAAACACACAGGGCACTGGAAACTCTAATGAACCAGCATTTACATAATGGTAACTGCCATATGACCACTTTGGTAAGCAGCTTGTTGAAATTACGTACTAAGTGCTTTATGTGTTGCCAAAAAAAACTTAAAAAATCAAATAATAAATCATGAGGCTCTACAAAATAGCTTAGAAAAACAAGTTTTCTATTTATTTAAAAATAAGTTTGTAGTTACTACATTGCAGGGACAGGAATTCTTACACGTACATTCTAGTTTGTATAAAAGGATTCAAAGAATTATGCATCAAAACTAACATAGAAAGTGTCCACGTAACAGTAAAGAAAGGTCCAATCAATATGTACAAAAAGAAAGGGCACTGCTATTCTGGTGTGAGACTGCTGTTTATAATATGATACTCCAGGTTCGGAAAGAAAAAAACAAACTTCAATAAAGCTAAATAATTAATTTGTTTTAAAACTCTGTGTTACTTATTACATACAACAGATCTGCTTGTGTTTAAACATTGTTTTCTGTACAAAATAAGCATAATCTTAATTTGAAAATGTGTCAGTTTCAACTTTCACCCTCTAGGTCAGTTACTTTTTAAAAATTGAGCTACATTCTACACATGTCTAAATGTCCTGTGACAGGATTTAAGTTTTCTAAAAGATCTTCAATAAGACCCCTGTCTTCTTGCAGTTTTAATATGGTCCAAAAATGTAACGTTGTATTGTCTCATTTTACGTTATAGTAACGTTGTATTGTCTCATTGTGACTGATCAACACACACAATCTTAAAGTAACCAGCGTGTGTGCATCTGCCTTATATGCATGTAGTATATTCCATCTTGAACCTACTTTTCTTGGCTCCTTGAATTGTAGAAACTCAGCTGTGCACTAAGTATTTGGTCTGTGCCATAAGGTTAATTTCCTGATAATTTTTATCTGCATTAAAAAAGTGTTTCAACACAGAGCTATCAAAACTAAAAATAGTATCTATTTATAGCTCATATTTTCTACTCACTGTTTTACTGCAGTGTGTACAAGGTTTATCTCTGGAGCGCCAAAAGTGGTACTTACAGTCTTCTGACTCAATTTGACCTCTTCTTGGGTACTATACATAGTTCCTGATGACTTTTTATTTGGAGCGCTTTGCTCAGTATAATTAACAAAAATAGTTTCTTAGTAAATGTAGTATTAATTTTAGTTCAGATCACTTGGAAATCAGGGAACTAAGGGAAACTGCAAGGGTAGAAGCAAAGAAAAGTGTATTTTTCAAATTTTAATGGGAAAATAAATTCTTGCCTAAGTGTAACAAAACCACTGCTCAACCTGTTATGTTAGAAATACTTTTTAGGTTTATAGGAGTAATCAGATTTAAAACTACTTCCCCTATGACTTTTAAAATCATGTAACTCCTGCATATAAGCAGAACACTTACAGCCCTTTAATCACTCAAGTATCTTGGTCCTTTCAACCTATTCAAAAATAAATTTCAGGTCACAAAAACATTCAGAATAAATCTGTTTTCATTAAGTAGAAAACTGAAAAAGCCACTTCCAGCTGACATTTGATAGAGATATACAGTAGGTATATATGTATAAAATGGAATGTCAGAATTGAAGTAAACATTGTTAACTGGAGAAATTATATTACAAATCATATTTGAAAACATGTAAATGCTGCTAACATATAAGATAAAAATGATATTTGAATACATTTCTTAAAATGTCTGATTCATCTACTGCACTGCAGATGAGGGACAGTTCTAGATGTTAACATACATGCTGCACAAAGGTATTTTCTCTGATTACTGTATCTTATGTAATTCATTTCCAGGTGATAACTAAATTTAGTCAATCCCAAGTCTCAGATGTTACCTAATCCAGCTCACAAATATTCCACATTTACTTACACTGAAGGAGGAAGATAGTTTTATAATAATGCCAGCAGTCTTTAAATTTGTAGTGAAGCTGTGCAATAAAAACAATTGAAATAAGGCCAAAAAAAATCTTCAGTTTATAATACATGCAGAAAATAGTCCAATGCCACTATAGCAGGTCACAAAGGATAAAATTTTAGAAAGTTATGTATGTATTGCCTATAGCCCAGGGCTGTGAGTCTCTGATTAGACTGAATATTTAAACTAATGCTCCACTTAAACTTTTCATCTGGGACTTGAGAATGTTGGAGTTGAGGGAGGCAATATTAGGGTTTGGTACTTAGAAATACCTAAATTGGTTTATACTTTCCATGCATGTTAAGTTATATTTCTGAATTTTCAGTAAATTTGAGATGTTTTTATTGCTTACCTAAGACAACTGCCAACATTTCTTTCTGGCCTATCAACAGTACATACATAGTGTTACCGCCTCAAAGAGGATTATTTTCCCAAGTGGTAAAGAAAAAAAAAATATGGTGATGACTTAAATTTCTTAATTCAACTTCTGCAATGTATAGAAGCTAAATTATAAAAATATAAAATCTAAATATATTGGTATTACTAATACATGTTTAAGTGTTTCGGTTACAAAGAATCTGATCCAAGTTACTGTGCTTTACTAAGAAACCAGTGTCTAATAATGTCCAAATAAGGTCATAAATATACAGTGTCTTTAGAACAGGAATAATACATTTATGTGTTATAGGAAAGATGGTAAATACTCATTTCTTTGCTCAAGAGTTGGAATTAACACATACACTGTACTAGAGGTATATTCCACTCTAAGACTGTGTACGCTCTTCCTTCTTCTGTACACAACTTAAAACTGTACATTATTTTTTTACAAAAATTGATTTTATAGCCTATTCTTTTTTTCTTAACACAATGCAGATAACATCAGGAAATTACATATCTCAAATAGATTGCCTTCAAAAGCAACTAATGACTTGAATTTCAAACATACACTATTATTTTCCAGAATGGCGTAAGTGAAAGACTCATTTTTCTAGACAATCAAGCCATCCATTTCTGCATTATGAAGAGTTTAACTACTGAATTTTAATTTTATAGTTAAATATATTTGTTAGAAAAAAATAAATATACAAAAAACCTGAAAAATTTGAAATTATTTTTCAACTGCAAAATCTCAGCAATGCAGTCAAAATCTGGAAAATGGTTTACTTAATTTCACAGGAAAATTTCTGTACAAATTTAGTTACAAATGATCTTAAAAGCCCAAATGTATCACTTTTTCATTCTTCAAGACAGTTAAATGACAGCTAATATTCATCCTTATCAGATATAATTATGTCATGTGTTTTGCCAAGGTTCAATTGCAGACTTTATTTTTCTACATCAGGGTCATGCTGATACATATTTTCCCCATCTTCACTTTTTAAAAATGTAGTATCTGAAAATTTTGGTTACATTTTTGTACCATACCAGTCCTCAGAAAATACTACATTCTTTAAATTTTTAAAAAAATGGACAGTAATTTTTAAACAATAGAAATGGTAAGTATGTTGGTTTTTAAGGTATAAAATAACTAACTGTACCATAAACAAATAAATAACTGCTCTCCTTTTCCATAGCAGTACATATAGCAATACATTCTCCTAAGTCATATAGTTATCATTTACAATAGACAACTTAATTTTACTAATGATGCAAAAAATAATAGAATACAAGGCACAATCATTAAATGGAGTTTTTCTTTAGGGTGTATATTGACATACCAGCATGATAAGGATACCGTAAAAAGTGCAGAAAAAACACAATGTGCAATGAGACCACTGTATAAAACATGATTGCATAAAAAGTGATTTGGCCTATTTTAACCTTTAATAATTGAAAATAACCAATTTCCCCCTTAAAATTAAACTATAAAGTATGACATTTTAAAATTATTTTTATTCTACTGCTATCTAAAAAATCCTGAAAAAAGAATTTATACCTGGGTAATAGTATATAAGTATGTGTTTGTATATATATTTAATTATACCCATTTATCAATATATACACATACACACACAGACACGTTTCTTTGTAAGTCATTTTAGGCTATTAGATATGTCTAAAGTTTAGAAATGACATTAATCCAGATCAACAAGTAAACATCAAATCCCATACCTTTTTTCCTGTATTTTCCTTGAATCCTTTAACCACTTAAACATTTCCTCTAGAATATCTCTGTCAAAGGACCCACCAGTGCATTATTTTCTATTAGTACCAAAAAAAAGATATATCTCAGCATAACTCTTTAATAACTTGCTCTTTAGAATATATAGCCTTTCCAATATTGAAAAGTGTATGCTGTCCTGACAGTCAAAAACAGACTTTCCACTGCACTGATTCTCAGTCTTTGGCACAATAAACAGAGATTGAGTGATATAAGAATCAAGGTCTGAAAAATTAGACAGTCAAATGTTTTCCAATGTGGATATGTTTCCCTTCATCAGTATATTTTCTCTTAAGTTTGGCAGAAATGGAATAAAGCAAAAGCCTCCTCTAGATACTTTGTAGATGAACATTCTATAATTAAAATTAAACTTTTTAGGGTATCAAATGGTGGAAATTTTGTATTTATCTTTTAGAGGAAACATTTCTTAATTCACTGCTACTCTGTATAACATCTGTCTTTTAGGGGCATGACTTGTATCAATAGAAATGTACCTTGCTTGGTCAAAAATAATTCATTTTAACATGAAATGCTCTATCACTAGGAATATTATGCTCCTAAAGAGTGTAGCAGAACTGTCTTTTCTATAAATAAATCAGGAATTCATTATAGATCAATTTCTTTTGTTTCAGTGAATGAAATGAATGTGAAAATGCATAACCTATCTAAGGGCAATAAATAGCAAACATTTAAAATATATATGTATATATTTATATATATATATTCATTTAAAGATGTGAAGTGTCTTGTAAGTTTGGTTTTTTTTTTTGTTTTTTGTTTTTTTTTTTTTTTTTAAAATAAAATCTTCTTTCCTCCACCACCATAGCAGCAAGGAAGCAGAAGCCTTAGTTCTACTTATTCCTTAACTGTACCTGCTTTATAGATTTTGAAGTAAAATATTTTGGTACAAGTTACCAACCAATTAAATTAGCTTTTGCTTTTTCAGTCAACTTTCGGACTCGTCCTCTACTAGAAGTTCCAAAAGTTAAAGAGGTGTCTTCAAACAACAGCTGCCTTTGCTCCTCTTCAGAGTCATCCTCATTATAGAAAGCTGTCCTTCGACCTTGATTTCTAGTTCTCATGTGGGGTTCAGAGCCTTTGAGTTCTTCAAACTCTTCTTCCTCATCTATAGGATCATCTATCTTTTTTCGGTTACTTCTCCTTAACACTTTGACACTTGCAGGGACTAGGAGATCTGAATCTAGTTTTTGTGTCTTCATCTTCCTTTTGGGTTTTCTACCTCCACGACTCTTTTTCTGTAACAAATCTTCCTTTACATTATTAGTTTCAGAAAGAAAATTGCATGTTGAAGAAGGAAGTACTTCATCTCTGATGGGATGCACATTATTTTGCTCTAAATTTTCTGGCTTTGCATACTGTAGCTTTTTGGGCTTTCTACCCCTTTTCTTGTGTGTAATTTCACCACTATTGGTGTTAACTTCTACTTTAGGTTTCCTTCCAGGTCCCCTCTTCACAAGTTTTGATGGCTGTCCTCCATGGCCATTTACTTGAATGGTTCCTGGTACAAGAGCGTTGTTCTTACAATCTCCTAAAAGGGAACAACAGGACACCTTAATACATGGAGTTTCTTTTTTGGTTTGACCCTCAAACTTGTCAATAAGTCCCCATTGGTATACTTATATGTAATGACATAATCTAAATTATTTTATTATAATGAGAAAAAAGAACCTAGAGAACGTTAATAGTTCAATGATCTTATTTATTTTCTAATTAAAAGAGACAGATTCTTAATGATCTCATGAGGGAGATAAAGTTCATAGAAAATAAGTAACTCATCTAAGTTAACATTGTGATTGATTATAAAGCTAGGATGACCAAAGTTTTCTTATTCCTAACTTAGAAATAAGTTACTCTTGCTCAAAAACTTTGCTCTCAGAACTGTTTAAAGAGGATTTAAAAACAACTAAATGGCAGTTTTTCTTCACAGGCTTTGAAAAGTCCTCGCCTTGTGTAATAAATGGCAAATGACTATAATCCTAGGAAATACTGATTATATCAATCAAAATCACTATGTGTGCCACCATAATCATGATTAAGATCCCACTGTAACAAACTCCATGACAAAAGGCCATTATGCTTCATAAAACAGGAGAGAAAATGCTGGCAATCAAATTCTAAACCTGAAGGATCTGGAGATGATGAATCACCTTTCTGTTGCAGAAAAAAATGCTACAACTTAGATAAAGGAAAAATATGCCACAGGAACTATCAGTAACGAACTCTCTTTCCCTCCAAATTTCTGACATGTTTTTATTTGATAAAGTAGGTGATTTGCAATGCTCTATTTTTGAGGAAATTCATAGATGGAAACTGCTTTTAAAGAGAATACATCTTCATAAAAGCATTTTTGGTCACAGGTTGGAACTGTACTTTGTAAATAAGAAAATCATGGTTGGTTGGGTGCAGCGGCTCACAATTACAATGCCAGCACTCTGGGAGGCCACAGCAGGCGGATCACCTGAGGTCAGGAGTTCGAGACCAGCCTGGCCAACATGGCGAAACCTCGTCTCTACTAAAAGTACAAAAATTAGCTGGGTGTGGTGGTGGGTACCTGTAATCCCAGCTACTCAGGGGGTTGAGGCAGGAGAATCATTTGAACCTGGGAGGCGGAGGCTGCAGTGAGCTGAGATCGCGCTACTGCACTCCAGCCTGGGCGACAAGACAGCCTGGGCGACAAGAGCGAGACTCCGTCTCAAACAAAACAAAACAAAACAACATGGTTAAGAGACTCACCAAAGGTCAGAGTCAAGTACAGACAGAAAATGCAAAGCTTTTAATTCCTGATCCCCATAGTGAAATGACTCTCTTTAGATTAGTGGTTGGGAAAAAATGTGGGTGTGGACATAAAGTAGTTAAGTATTTCCTAGGGAGCAACTGACATGTAAACTGCCTAGGGATTCTGTCAATCCCTCTTGTTTTACATTATGACTACATGGGTTCTAAATATCCAGCACATGCACCTACTACAGAAGATAGGCTTTAAGAACTACATGAATCCCTTGAAATGGTCCAAAATTTTGTATGAATATGTTTATGTACATTTTTCTTAGACAGGGACTATAGGACTTATCAACTTTATAAAGCAATATATAATGTAAAAAGATGAAAAATGAATGCAGCTTTCTTAAAAAGGAATTCAGAAGTTTTTTTAAAAAGTTTAAAAACCACTGATCTTGAACTGTGTTGTCCTGGGCACATGAAAAGTTACGCAGTTTAGGAACTAAATTTTTAATTAAATTTCAATTTAAATACTAAAGCAGTATATATTTTAAAATACTGATTAAATACTGAAATAACATTTTGGATGCAATGGAATAAAATATTATTAAAATTAACTTTACCTATTTTTACTAAACATAGTGACTGCAAAATTTAAAATTACATATATGGCTTATATTATATTCCACTAGACAACACTGCTTGATTCTAGACAGTTAATTTAGGTGTCATTATTTATAATAAATCACTGTTAATGTTAACTAATGATAATGATATTTCTATACAGTACCAGTACTCGAGTATTTCTAATACTCAAACATTATAAATCAAATGGACTATGAGACCAGACCTCCGCTATCATAATGCTAGAACCGATTCATCATATATATTTGATTTCTCTAAGATTCAAGAATAAAAAGCAGCAAGGAAGGCCAATATACTATTCAAACTCTAAATTCAGTTCAGAAAGGGGGCAGATATTAAAAATGTGAAACATTCATGTGCAAAGTATTTTGGTTATTTATTCAAACAATTATCTTCTATATAATGGGCATTAAAAATGAGTAAACACATTAACCTCAGATTCTTCTGGAGATACAGACATGTGAACATGAATAACCTGATCAGTATTATAAGTACCACCAAAGGTAATGAACAGGGTTTTCTGGGACATAAAGATGGAAGTGCTTGGCTGGGTGTGGCGGCTCACATCTGAAATCACAATACTTTGGGAGGCTGAGTGGGGTGGATCACTAGAGGCCAGAAGTTTCAGACCAGCCTGGTCAACATGGAGAAATCCTGTCTTTATCAAAAATACAAAATTAGCCGGGTGTTATGGCATACACCTATAATTCCAGCTACATGGGAGGCTGAGGCAGAAGAACTGATTGAACCTGAAAGGCGGAGGTTGCAGTGAATGGAAATCTGGCCATTGCATTCCAGTCTGAGTGACAGAACAAGATCCTGTCTTTGGACAAAAAAAAGAAAAAGATGGAAGTGCTTGATTCTATCTAAAGAAGCCAGGAGAAGGCTTCCTAAAGACGATATTTTAAGTGAGACGTGAAAGGCAACAGACCATTAAACTAGGAGGGAAAAAAGACATGCCCCCCAAAGAAGAAAAGAACAAAGACTCAGGAACTTCTAAGTGTTTAGGATGACTGGGATACAAAAGAGAGAAAGAAGGCAAAAGAACCTGGAATGTTAGGCAAGAGCCAAGTAACAGAGAGTCTTGTGTAACAGGCAAAAAATTAAAAATGTTTCCATACATGATTTGAGGGCAAGGAAGGGTTTTCTCTGCATGTATGTACACACATCCACATGTGCTAGAGAGAAATGAAAAGATCACTTTGGCTGCAATATGGGAGATGGACTGGTTAAGAAAGAGTTTGAGAACTGAGGCAGGAAGACTAGTTAGGAAACTAGGAAAATAGTCCAGGCAAGAAATTATGTAAGCCTTGAAATAATGTCACGGCGGTGAGAATGGAGAGGAGAGAATAGATTTAAGAGATGTTATGGAAGGAGAAACAACAAAAACAAAAAGCTGTTGAAGAGATTCAGTTGCTGAAGAGAAGGCTAGGATGACTCCCTGATTTTAAGTTTACATGGGTAGATCCCAATGCCATTAACCAAAATAAGATTTCAGTAGAGAAATTAAATTTTGACAGAGGTTTTTAAAGACAACAATGAAGAAGAAATGTCTTAAGAAACACTTTGAAAGTCATGATGCAAAATGCTTATTATTAGGCTGTCTGCTGCCAAGAAGCCTTATTATTTTAACATGTCACATGGCATATTTTAGTATTTACTTTCTTCATCTTTCAAACACGAAGACTTTACAATAAAAACCCGAAGCTGAAAGAACTTGAAGTGTAACGTGTCACTCTACAGTTGTAGACAACCCCAATGAATTATTATTTAATAAAAGTCTGTCTAGAAAAATAAGTAGTTTTGTGATCTAATATTTACTTAAAACATTTTTCTACCAAAGTGAAGAATGCTACATTGGATTAACTATATCCTATTTAATTTAAACTTTGAAGATAAATTTCTTTTTTTCTTTTGAGACAGGGTCTCATTCTGTTTACCAGGATGGAGTGTAGTGGCACAATAATAGCTCATTGCAGTAAATTTATCAACTAATACAGATGTGTGACTTTTAAGTGGGCAACCTGAAAGTGGATATAAATGCTGATTCCAACAAAAGCATCATTTATAATAAGGATCTACTGTATCTTGAAAGATAGAAATAATACCTTACCTTGCTCAATGACAGCTGATGACTTTGAAAGAGTGGACGCCTTTGGGAGTATAGACGACTTCATTTTACGTTTGACTGGCTTTTCCTTTTCCATGGTTTCTTTTGCAGAATTATTCCTAGTGCCATGACTAAAATTGGATTGACCAGGACTGGAAAGAGTATTCAAAGCTTTGGAATGTTTCACGGAATTCTCTAGTACTAAAACAAATAAACAAAAAGTTACAAATTAAGAGTTACTGAACCTAAAGATAAGAAAAAAGGTTAACCTGAATTATTTGAATTAGCTAAGACAACAAAACCTGAAGGATGCTTAAAGCTTTCTTAGGAAATCTACTTTCTAATAGGAAAAAGGCATATCCAGCTAGAAACTCTTAATATAGTTTCAGCCCTTTTAGAAGCTGTCCCATCATTTCAAAATTACGAAGGCAAGTCTTGGCAAATTGCTAGCTAGTGTGGGTGCTATGATTTAAATTCAGTAGTTTAGATCAGAGTTGTCATTTCTAAGCATTAGTCTATAATGACGTAAATCTCAATTTAATTCTTATTAAAAACTTTTTTTAATAGGAAATTAATAAAGAAGGCAAAAACAACAGTGTCTGCTAGAAATTACTAAAACTCAATATACTGCATTTGGCAAAGTAAAAACTTAAATTAAGAAAATCATCAGACACATTACAATTTAGAAAGTCAGTCTTACTTGTTTTCCCTGGTATTGCAGATGCATTTGCTTTTGTAATAAAAGTCTTTGCAGCTGAAGAAGTAGATGGTTGCTCAGTGATAAGTGGATCTACAACCACTCGGTTGCTTCTGGTTCGAACCACAGAACTAGATTCTGTTTTACCGTTTATCTGAGCAGCATTGTGTCTTGGTGGTATTGATCGTGTAGGTGCAGAGAATGCAGAGGTAGAGATTTCTGACTTTAGCTGGGGTTTTAAGATCCTTTTTTTCCTTTCAGGGCTGTAAATAAAATAGTATTGTCAGTCACTCTTATAGTTCTATATGAATGAATAAAACAGTTTATAATATTGTTGGATTCAATATTTGTACTATTATGAAATATGTTAAAATATGAGATTTGTAGTGGATTTCATATGATTGTGAGCCTCTGAAAGTGAATATTTAGTGAAGGATCGCTGTAAATGCTAAAGTTATATGACGGAAAGCATGATGCCATCACTATCCTAAAAATGCTGTTTAACTGTATAGATTTAGCAGTTTGAATTTAAGCACTTACACTAGTATAGCTTTAGTTAAAAGATTAAAAATCCTCCACATCATAGGAACTTGCATGTCAAATATATCATTCTGTAATATAGGGAATAGTAAAGGAAGTATTAAAAAACACCAAGTTCTATCATTTAGATGAAAGTTATAGATCAGTTAGTGGTATTTAAAAGAAATTAAATACCTTGACGCAGCACTACTGGAAACAGAGCTGCTTCTGTTTCTTTTCTTCCTCCTTTTGGTTATGGTATTTCTTTTATGAAAACGAAGAGCAGATTTATAATCTGATAAAACTGAACTAATGTGTTCTTCAAAGAAAGCAGACAGGCGCAAACTCATGCTGTAAATCTGTGAGGGAAAAAAAAAAGTGTTCAAACATTCCTCGGAGGAAAATACCGTTGTTCAGTAAATATTGTAATGTAAATATTTTTCCAGTAAAAACTATTTAGAATTTAAATACTGTTTTTGACATCCTTTTTCCTAATCTTTTGATGAAAAGGTAAACTGAAGCATTTTAACAATTATTTTTGTGTTTAGAACAGAAATCTTTCAAGTTTTGAGATTCTTAAAGAAAAGTCTGACTCTAAATTCAAATGGCTCATACAGACAAAACTCCTTATTGTCAACTCTATTACACTGAAACTATCCCAAAGGTTTGAACCTGTTTTCTACCTAGGACTAGCATCTCTTCTTTCTCATTTCACTGCTACATAGCACTCCTTTGTGATGTTATGTCTGGTCAAAGAGTTTTAAATTATATTTATATTTTTACTTATTTGTAAAAATCATTCACAAAAATGCTCCATAAGGCAGATAATAGCTAGAAAAGTCAAGGCCGGATGGCTCTGGTGCATACCAGGACAATTTGCACCTATCTATTCAATCACAGTACTTCAAGAAAAGTCACCATTACCAGACATCAAAGATAACATAAATGTTATTTCATACAAGGAGCTGAGTAGAAAGGTATAAATTCTTTTTCCAATGGGACAATATTCAGAATATAACAAAGTTAACTTGGACCTAAATTTTAAGTAAAGCAACATTTAGCCATTTAACATACTCCTCTAACTCAATCTAGTCATAAACAAAATTTAATTATACCCTTGATCTTTTGCTTGGTGTATATGCTTTGGAATTACTGAAAATAAGTCTGACATCTTTACATAACTCCATTGGTGACTCATAATTCCCAGCCTCTAAAGTTTCTCTAACGGTAGCAAAATCCATTGGAGTGTCAATGATGTCTCTGTAGTCCTAGGAGAGGGAAAATAAGTGGTGTTACCATTATTATTACACAAAGCATCACTTCTCAGCACAGGGATTTGCACAGGATTTTTATGACGACTATAAGTCCTAGAACTCTTAATAATCACTCCTGTTCCCCTTATCAAGAGTTCCTTTTTTCTAATAATTCTAATTTATTTCATACTCTCCCCCTTATATTGCAATCAACAAAAATTTTCTTATTCAAGAACACAGAAGTTATTAATTTTTCACTGGAGACTTGGGAGATGGAGTGGTACTGGAAAGGGGAAAGTAAAAAAGTAAGGAATAAGCCCAGCTCTACAACCAAAAGTTTGAAAGAAACTCTCAAAACTTTATACTACTTATAAATTCTAAAGGTCTGACGCACTGAAATACAACTGTAACTTTAAGGAAATAAAAACGATGGAAGTATGCCAGCATCCCATTTATGCAGACACCTAAGTTCTAGTAATCTCAACTTCAGTACTACAATTGGGAGTTTTGCTTTGCAGTAATAAAGAATTAACGAATGTGAATAGTTGTCACAAAGTCTATGCATGTCCCTGAGGTGTCTACCTAGTCAATTGAGTATAAAATTAGGTAACAGATTGGAACCAATAAAAACACACAAGTGAAAGAGCAACAGAAAATCATCATAATATGGTATATAATTCTAAAATTATCAGAATATATATATATATATATTTTTTTTTAAGCAGGGACAAAGAGTATTGTACGCCCCCTTTTTTGGGAGAGACAGTCTTGCTGTTGCCCAGGTTAGAGTGCAGTTGATGCCATCACAGCTCACTGCATCCTAGGACTCCCAGACTCAAGCAATCTTCCCACCTCAGCCTCTCAAGTGGCAGGGACTACAGGCAGGCGCTACCACGCCCAGCTAATTTGTATAATTTTTGTAGAGACGGGGTCTCGCCATGTTGCTGAGACTGGTCTCAAACTCCCTGGCTTAAATAATCTGCCTGCCTTGGCCTCCCAAAGTGCTGGGATTACAGGCATTAGCCACCACATCTGGCCTGCAGTTTTTCAATAGTCCCTCAGTATGCGATTATATTTTTTGAAGTGTAACAACTTGACTTTGCACCATCAAGTTTAAATTATGATCAAATATGTCTGACCCTAAAGAAGGTGCCATATAAGGCAGGATTACTGCCTTTACAAATTTTTATTTCTTCCTTTCCAATAGGTATGCCTTTTATTTCCTTTTCTTGCCTTATTGCATTGGCTAGAATTTCCAGTACTATGTTGAATAGCAGTGGTGAGAGTGAACATTTTTCAATCATTCCTAATTCTTAGGGGGAAAGCACTCAGTCTGTCACCAGTAAACATGATGTTAGCTGTAGGTTTTTTATAGATGTACTTTATCAAGTTGTGGAAGTTTTCCTTTATTCCCAGTTTTCTTAGGGGTTTTATAATGAATTAACATCTTGTTTCTTCAGATTCTGCATTTGTCTATTTGCCACCTATTCACAGGGCCAAGGATGATCTGGTACCTGTGGGGCCTTACAGACCTGAGGAAAGACTGCCCCTTCCTGGGGCAGTCAATTCTTAGTGACGGGCTCCACTGAGAACGTGTCTTTCATATACATACCAATGAATCCCAAGTATAAAGCCACAATCAGCTCCTTTTCTCACTCTCACACACTAAGCCAGTATTTCCATTTTAAATCATCCCAGGGCTGGGACCAGACAACTAGATACGTGTGCCTCAGAGCCCACTGGAATTATTCAAACTAGCCAATAATAAGCTGTTAACTGTGACCTGCCTTGCATTTCCTGCAGAAACCCCAATAAATGATTTCTAAGCTTTTCCCTAGTTTTGGTCTCTCCTACCCAACCAAAACCTACCACTTCCCCTGTGGCCCTGTGTGGCATGTGGTAACCCCCTACTTTTCTGGGACTCTTTTTCACTTTTTTTTTTTTTTAAATGAGATAGGGTCTCACTCTATTGCCAGGCTAGAGTACAGTGGTGTGACCTTGGCTCACTGCAATGTCCATCTCCCAGGCTCAAGCAATCCTCACGAGTAGCTCGGAGTACAGGTACACACCATAGAAGCTGGCTAATTTTTGTATTTTCTGTAAAGACAGGGTTTTGCCATATTGCTCAGGCTAGTCTCAAACTCTTGAGCTCAAGAGATCCACCTACCTTGGCCTCCCAAAGTGCTGGGATTACAGGTGTAAGCCACCATGCCCGGCCTGGGAATCTTCAGTATAATAAACTTTTTCCTTCCAAGCCTTGTTTTCATTTCCTCCTGTGACCACACTGACTTTACCATAACCAAAATGCACATTCATAGAACAAATGGGTGTGAAATTTTGTCAAATGCTCTTTCTATATTACTTGATATAATCATGAGATTTTTCTTCACTAGCCTATTAATATGATGGATTACATTGACTGGTTTTTGAATAATCAACCATCCTTGTATCTCTGGAATAAACAGCACTTGGTCAAGGTATAAAATCGCTTTTTAATATATTCCTGAATTCTATTTGCTGTTATTTGGTTAGTTTTTTTTCTTCTTTTCTACTGTTATTGTCTGGTTTTGAGATCAGGGGAACACTGGCCTTCATAGAATGAGTTGGGAATTTGAGTTTTTCTATCTTCTGGAAGAGACTGTGTAGAATTTGTGTTAATGCTTTAAATATTTGGTTGAATTCTCCAGTGAAGCCATCCGGGACTAGACATTTCTTTTTTGAAAACTTATAATCACAAATTAAATTTCCCTAATAGGGTTACTGAGTTACCTGCTTCATATTGGGTGAGTTGTGGTAGTTTATACTTTGAGTATCGGTCTATTTCATATAAGTTACCAAATTTATGTATGTATAATTCTTTGTAGTATTATTTATTTTTACTTTATCATCCTTCCGGTATTGGCAGGGTCTATAGTGATATGCTCTATATCATCCCTGATATTAACAATCTGTCTTCTCTCTTTATAGCTTTGTAAATCTTAACAGAGGCTTGTCAATCTTGTTGATGTTCTCAAATAACCAGCTTCCAATTTTATAGATTTTCTCTATTGTTTTTCTTTTTTGAGTTTCACTGATTTCAGCTCTTTATTATTTCCTTTTGTTGGCTTACTTTTGGTTGATTTTACTCTTCTTTCTCTAGGTTCTTGAGGAGTGATCTTCGATTACTGATTTGAAACTTCTTTTCTGCTGTACTCTTTAGTACACTTTAGTATTAGAAATTTTCCTGCATTGCTTTAACTGCGTCCTACAAATTTTGATACACTGAATTTATTTTGAGTTCAATACATTTTTTTAATCCCCATGAGATTTGTTTAATCCATAGATTATTTAGAGGTGGGCTCTTTAGTTAACAAGTTCTTAGAGATTTTACATTATTGGCGTTACAAACTTTGTAGATTTGGGCAAAATATAAAAATTATTTTTTAAAATGTTTTGCAATATTTTGGGTAATGTAAAATTTATGTAGAATACTTAATTTTTCTTGGCTCACATCTTGGCCTTCCACCATGCAGTATAGTACATGATAACTGCTCAATACAATTCTATTGAATACATGAAAGCTGTAGATTAAGCCCATTTATTTCCATCAAAAATTTAATTTTTAACATCTTGCTTTGAATATTTGATTACACTCAAAATGTGAACTAATATTTTCATATAAAAGGTGAAATATGAAGTGCGTGATCTGCCTTAAATATTCCACTAAAGTAAGGATGATACAATTAATTCTGAATTATAAAAAGTAGATTGGTATCCAAAGTTTTCTTTTTCTCTTCTGTGACAGTAATTAACAAAACAGACCTCCATCATGGAGTACCGCAAGAGGCAAGAGATTACATTTTTCTTATTTCTACTACTTTTTGTCGGCTAACAACGTTTAGCTGGTGGGACAGGTTCTAAATATTTGCTAAATATTGTTCTCATTATTTTGAATATGTAAAAGATGACTGCATTCTTATATATTTCCCTCTTAAGTTTAAAAAGTGAACTTTCTTTATACAAAAATTCATTTGCCTACTGTCAGAATATCACATATAACTGGTGTGCTGGATATAAAGGACATGGGTTCCCATTGTGGCTTTGTCTATAAATAGCCACAAATAAATAGCAAGAAACAGCTTTGTCTATAAATCTTAGCAAGGTGAGTCTCAGTTCAACATCAGTAAAGTGAGTGGCTTGGAGGAATCTCAGGTCTCCTCCATTTTTTCTGTCTGTTTTAATATTTTCTTTTTGACTTTCAATTGTTGAGTTTTTTTCACTCTTATTCTAGGTAAAGATTTTTTTCTTGTATATCCCGATCAGGAATCATAGTTTGTCAAATGTTTACCAATTCCAGAAAATTCCTGGCCATGGGGCATGGTGGCTTACGCCTGTAATCCCAGCCCTTTGGGAGGCTAAGGCAGGCAGATCACGAGGTCAAGAGATCGAGACCATCCTGGCCAACATGGTGAAACCCCATCTCTACTAAAAAAACAAAAATTAGCTGGGCGTGGTAGCATGCGCCTGTAATCCCAGCTACTCGGGAGGCTGAGGCAGGAGAATTGCTTGAACCCACGAGGCAGAGTTTGTAGTGATCCGAGATTGAGCCACTGCACTGCAGCCTGGTCACAGAGTGAGACTCTGTCTCAAAAAAAAAAAAAAAAAAAAGTTCTTGGCCATTAGCTCCTCAAATATTTCTCCTCTCCCATTCTGTCTATTCTCTTCCACTGAAATTTTTGTTAGACATACTTTGGACCTTCTCTTTCTATCTACCATTACCTCTTACCCTCTCCTTCACACTCAATCTCTTTACCATTCTGTGTGGGATTCTATAGAATTTGCTTAGATCTTTACATTTACTATCTCTTTAATCTGTTTTTAAAACTGTCCGGTAAGTTTAATTTCAGTAATTATACATTTCCTTTCCAGGATTCTATTTAATTAGTTTTAATATGTCTTCCCTCTTTTCCTCTCAAATAACATGCTTTCCCCCCATGTTTCTTATTCTTTCATTTATTCCTTTAACCAAAATTATCTATCAAAGTTTAATTCACAGCATTTCTTTTTTCTTGGTGGTACATATAACAACAATAATCTTACAATGAATGTCATCTCTCTTTTTTTTAATGAAGTATAGTAATTCAGAATAATCTATTACTCAAATTTTCAGGGAGAGGTTACTAATATTTCCATTGGTTGTTTCTGTCATCTTATTATGGTAGATCAGTCCCTTATATAGGTGTGTGTGTTTTTTTTTTTTTTTTAAATCATTAGTTCATTCAGTTAAGGATTAACTTTTTTTCCATAATGGATTTCTACACAAGGGTAGTGCAAATTTGAATTCTAAGTCCATGTATAGTGTACGTTTAGGAAAATTTCTCCTCTCTGACATTAGAACCACTGGGGAAAACATTCTTTGTTGTGAAAGGAATTATTCAATTCTTATTTTCATTCAGGGTGCAGTTCTTCAATACTTCTGGTTTAGGGTTGGGTTTCAGCTCCAAATTCCTTTTTCACCACTGCCCAAGGACTCAATTATCTCTCTATAGTGTTAATACCTGTGCCTCTAGAATAAAAACATTGTCTTATTTCTATCCCTTCTTTTCTGTATAAAGCCCAGAATACAAATGCCTAAAACAATGAATAAACAGCAATTTATTTTTCAAAAGAATACATAGCTAAGCTTGCAAGAACCAAAGTGAAATTCGTAAGTTGTGAAAACAGAGAGAAATGAAAGCCAGAACATTCATGCATCAGCTCAGTCCTAGGTTTTCCCAAAGGTGAGGTTCTAATTAGCTCAATTTATCACGTCACTGGAATTAAAGATTTCTCTTCCACGTTTAACATTCTCTGTTTCTGGTATTTTAAATGACACGAAAAAAGTCATTTTCTGATATTTATCTGTTGATGAAGTTTCTCTATTTTCATCATTGTAAGTTAGAACAAAAATAAGCCTGGCTAATTTTTGTATTTTTAGTAGAGACAGGATTTTACCATGTTGGTCAGGCTGGTCTTGAACTCCTGACCTCGGGTGATCTGCCCGCGTCACCCTCCCAAAGTGCTGGGATTACAGGTGTAAGCCACTGCGCCCAGCCCTTGAACTATATAACATTTAATTACTTTTTAAAGGGATAAGATAATGATGTCCAATGATACCACATCTAGGTCATGATGTCTTATAAAACATTTTTTATTTTCATTTCAAATCATGAATGCTATCTGAACAGCATAACTTTTTTCTTTTTTGAGACAAGAGTCTCGCTCTGTCACCCAAGCTGGAGTGCAATGGCGCCATCTCGGCTCACTGCAACCGCCCCCTCCCACGTTCAAGCGATTGTCCTGCCTCAGCCTCCCGAATAGTTCGGATTACAGGTGCCCACCACCACGCCCGGGTAATTTTTGTATTTTTAGTAGAGACGGGATTTCACCATGTTGGTCAGGCTGGTCTCAAACTCCTGGCCTCAAGTTATCCACCCGCCTTGGTCACCCAAAGTGCAGGGATTACAGGTGTGAGATACTGCACCTGGCCCCTGAACTATATAGCATTTAATTACTTTTTAAAGGGATGAGAAATCACTCTACACTAAATTTAGATTGCTATGATTGCATGCCAAAATAAATACTTGGATCATGTTTACTTAGCTCTTTTTACCATGTATTCCATAAAGATTATACATTGGCATACCTAAATATATACAATATCACCTTACATTTGTACACAGTGCTTCACATTTAAAAACTATTTTTTTGTTTGTTTTTGTTTTTGAGACCGAGTCTCTCGCTCTGTCGCCCAGGCAGCAGGATCTCAGCTCACTGCAAGCTCCACCTCCCAGGTTCACGCCATTCTCTTGCCTCAGCCTCCCGAGTAGCTGGGACTACAGGCGCCCGCCACCACACTTGGCTAATTTTTTTTTTTTTGTATTTTTAGTAGAGATGGGGTTTCACCATGTTAGCCAGCATGGTCTCGATCTCCTGACTTTGTGATCTGCCTGCCTCAGCCTCCCAAAGTGCTAGGATTACAGGCGTGAGCCACCGCGCCCGGTCTAAAAATTATTTTTATATATTCTCTTTACATCTCCATAATCCTGTAAGGACGTAGGCATTATTTTTCTTTTTTCCCTAGATAACTGCCGCAATAAATTCATAGAATCAGTGTAGGGAAGACAAAAAGAAAAAAAAATTCAGATGAGAAAACTAAGGGACTAGCTCAAAGCTGCACAACTGGTAGGAACAGAATAACCCATTTCTTACAGTGTCTTGGTTCAGGGCTCCTTCCATTTTACCACACTATTCAAAATTTAGATTCTCTATGTAGTAAAATGGATAATGAGAACATGTATAAAATAATAAAGAAATGAACAATAATCATAAAAAGTAACTAAAATAGCCAACTGTCATATAAAAGATATGTAGCAAACTGACAGGTAAAGAAAATATTTTCAAAAACACTTACTGGATATTCAAGGAGATCTACTGGCTGACGGAAAGGCTCTGAATCTTCACATTGAAATATGAGATTTAACAATTCTTCACACTGTTTCTTCCATGCTTGAATATCGTAAGACTGGGCTCTATTACGTAATCTTCGTCTAGGCTGATGGTCCTGCGATAAGTGTTCAAATATATTAATAAAAGAGCACTTATACAATAAAATTTGTACTTTTAATGCAGTCTTAGATAATTGGGTAATACACAAGAATTCAAACAAAAGAAAATACGAAGTTCTAAAAAACATACATTTTGTAACTGAAACTAATTTGAACATACTTAATGTCTTCTAAAATGCTAAGAGTAAAAAAAGAAAGAAAGCTCTTAATACATTTTAATTCATATAAAGTACTCTTGCTAAAACTAAAACTATATTACCTTCCTTTTTCGAGTAGAAGTTCCTGGCACATCTGCATCTTTCTCTTCTTCCTTTGAGGCAAGAATTTATCAGATTCATAAAACATTTTAAATGTCATTATACTTTATAGTTGATTAATTAGCAATTATTTCCTTTACACACTGGAACACTGTAATGTATATGCTGGGGCACTTTACTGACTCATTAAAAAGTTTCCCATTAAAAATTTTTTTGTAACTTTAAGAATAATATTCTACTGCCAGTTTTTGTTTTAAACTACACTAGACAAGAAATAATCTTCACAACAGCTTTTACCTACAATATGTAAATTTATTTTTATACAGAGAATATCAATATAGTAATCATAATGAAATATTACATACCTCAGAATCAGACAACACTTTCTTCTTCATTGAATTATAAAGTGGAATTATGTTATAACAAGTCTGATCCCTATATAACAAGGAAATGTTAAAATGTAAGACTACAGCCATGATAATTTTTTTCCTTAAAAATTTGTTCCTAAAACCATATTTTAAGATAAAAGTAGAAGCTGAAGGCTTGCTTTCTTCTCCATTGGCTTACTCCAATAATATATGCACACACATTTAACCCTGACCCCTCCACTCTATGTAGAGTTTTCAGTGTGGCCTGACTATATCATTACACCAAACCCAAGTCTCATCTCCCAGTCTTTGTTTAGGTATCTGCTGTGCTTCTTCCATTCCTCAGTCTTCAAACAGCTAATATATTTCTTGTCTTCCAACTTTCTTTCTTTTATTCTTAAATGTATTTCCTAAAACTTTGTTCTTACGCATCTTCTCTTGACACTGTACCTTTTGCTTTGATAACTTTACATACTGGTGGTTTATCTGTGTAAATGAATTCCAAAATTCCTGCAATCTGTCCTAACCCTTCTCCTGAGCATTCTACCATAACCTAAAATTCCACGTATGTTTAAACTTAATAGTGGCTCCCCAGATATCCTTGTTCCTTTCTCTATTTTTTCTTAAACAACATACCATTCTTACAGTAATGGGAATCTTGGTTTTTCATTATTCTTTCCCTTTCCTCCTCCTTATAAATCCAATTAGTGGTCAAGTGCTGTGAACTCTATCCCCAAGTATGTCTGGGCATCTGTCCCTTTCTCACTTCCATAAATTAAGCCCTCATCAACTCTTAGTTGGTCAAATATAGCAGTCAATCTGCTATTTATGCTTCTTGTCTCTTCTCTATCAATTAAATTAGACACTGCAGTCAAATTAACATTTTTAAGGCATAGTGTAAAACATGTTATTCTCATGTCAAAATACTTTCAACATCCCCTTGCTCTCAGAGCTCATATTTTAAAAGTCTAAAACCTTAGATTGGCATTCAAGGCCACCCATGATGTGGCCCCAACTCAAATTTATAGCACTGTATCTCTACTATGACTTCTACTCATTACTGTCTACCTCACCCATTTTATATTACCCTTAATTAAACCTCCCTACCTCATGCTGCTCCTTATCCCTGGAATGGCTTTCTTTTCATCTAACGTTTCCTTAATCTATCAATATCTACCTTGAATACAACGTCTTCTTAACATACTTCTCCTCCCCTGTATCTGAATCCCCATCATCACAACTAAAAGTGATCCTACACTCATCTAAACTTCTATACAATTCTCTTATTACTTGTCACAGTTTTCCTTATATTATAGTTTCTTACAGATTTATCTATCCTATGAAACTGTATTAAGAGGATAAAAATACTACCTCCAAGCATCCATTATATTACTTTGTATGTATCAATTGCTTGAAATTTTGCCAAATAACTCAATTAAAAAGTATAATTAAAATTTCAAGGAATACTTAATATCTTGAAAACTATCTGCTAAAAAAAGTATTTCTAAACAAACTATACACATCCAAAAAAATGCCACGGATTTATTTTTAGGAATATACAATACAAATGCTTTAAGTGTTTCATGAATCTGATTTCAAAGACATTTCAAAGTAGCTGTTTGAAAGATACATTTCATAGACTATTTCAAATGTATTAACAATTTTCATCTAAATTATTTCACTGAAATATGAATATGGTATCTCATGTAGTTCTACTGATTCTCTTTGAAAAAACAGATATACCTACACATAGTTATAACACAAAAAATTACAGACATAAGAGTCTTCAGAGGATAATGCTTACTTACTAATTTCAATAAGGAAAACAAAAGCATAGCAATAATGGCCTCCAAACCATTGGAAAGCAATAGATATCTTAGAGAATAAGGTAGAGAAAGGGCACAAAATTGACCTTACTAATTATGTTTGGTGTTTTCTTATACTGAAATGACCTGCATTTCTCAGTTAAAAAACATTAATCAAAAAGGAACTCAAAGATTATGTCCATTAACAAGAATGAAGCAGGGACGTTTATTTAAAAAAAAAAAAAAACCTGAATAATCCTGAAGTTTTCATTATGTAAAAATGAAAGCTGATAACAGCTAAGTAAGCTTTTAAAATGCTGTTACTACTTCTCAACCAGGAAAAAAAAAAATTCAAAATAATAACATGGAATCACAGCAGTCTTTGTACAAAGTATAGAATTCATTTCTCTGCCTTCAACTTAGGAGGCTCAATTCATTGTATGACTGCATAAAATCCTTAAGATAAGGAAGGGAAAGTACTTCTGCCTTAGTAAATAGTGGTTATCACTCTTGTTATGGGATCAATGAGGAACTAATCTTGACTTTGAACTAGAATCATGAAAGTTAAATTTAGTCTCCTGCTGGACTACTTAAATACTTGTTAATATACTTGACAGGGCCAATATACTGCTAGGATGAAAAATTCTCAAATCAGATGGCAGACACTCATTTACTGTGAAACCTTATACATGTTAACCACTATAGGCCATACTTTCCTCAATTCAAAATTCCAGATAATAAATCTCTTCCACCTGTAAGATTGTTACTTGGGTTAGAAAAGTTAAAGTAGGTAAAACATTACATGTTAAATAAATCTTTACTGTTATTATTGTCTAACAGTTAGATTGAGAAAAGAATCTTTTAAAAAAAATTTTAACCTTAAAACACAATGGTAATGCAGCTTTTATGATTTCATTCTTATTACTACCCAATGACCTGTTTCTTCCAAAACCCAGGATCAAACCAGGGACCTTTAGATCTTCAGTCTAACGCTCTCCCAACTGAGCTATTTTGGCTACTCGTAAACGTTTCCTCTTTACAAACAGTATGTTTTCTATTTTAAGAGGAACTATAGTGCCATTAATTATTAAAACTATCATAATTACATATGAAAATATAACTTACTTTATAAAATGTAGAAGAAGATCAGTCACGAATTTAGCAGATTTCACAATAGGGCTTCCAGGCTCATTAAATGTTCGTGTATTATGCTCTATATATCGAACTTCCCACATTAGGGAAGAAACCCGCCTTAAAAAAACAAAATATAGAAGTTTTAACTTCCTTATATTTAGAAATATGTGTACATCATTTAAAACCAAGACATTCCAACTTTTCAATTTCAGTCTAAACCAATCGTAAAAACCATTGGTCTTATAAAGTCATTTTCAAAGAAGCATAACTGCATTTGTGTTAGGGGAAAAAAAGAGGGGCAACCATAACTATGTATTTGCATACAAGATGCTTGGAATGGAACACACCAGACTATTAACAATGCCCTCTTTTTGGGAGGGAGAACATCTATATGGGGAGTGGCAGGAGAGTAGAAAGGGGAGAGTTTTTAAGTTTTGGCTTTATATATTTTTGTCATGTATGCTATCATTTTTTGGTAATAAAGACCCCTGACTTCTGAACAAAAAAGGAAACAAGTAATTTTAATCTAATTATATTATTGGTAATCAAATGACATATACAAATGAAAAGTTAACTGACAGCCACCTTATGAGATACAAAACTATAAAAATATTGCATGTTCGTTTACCAAGAAACCTAACTAAATGAGAATTATTTTCTGAACACTTAACTGATAATGCTAAAATAAAATCTGGAGTTTTATAATTTTATTTCTGAAAGTAAATAAAAATCCAAGGACAACTTTTGAGAATATTATCTAATATGTGGCCTGACTTAAAATAATAAAGAAGAAAACACTTAGAAAATCTTACTGATTGTGAACAGAAATACAATTACATGGAATAAAAAAACACTGTATGTAATTGTGGACATAGAAACAAAGAAAAACTGTGCATTTCAAAAAGATTCACAACACTCTATCTAATAACAGAATCACAGATATCTTCAGTGTATCATATAGAAAACTGTGTGTAAAATAAGTGTGAGATTAATACCAGCAGGGCAAACTGACAGTAATAGTTTAACAAGAGACTGAACTAGAAGTATCACGAAAGAGAAACAAACTATAAGAAGTCTAACACCAATAAGTGAAGGAAGAAGCAAAAACTTTTAAACAGTGAAATAGTACTGGAAGTCATCATTGTATTGAATAAGAACATAACTCAGGTTTATAACTGAGTTTATTATCAGGTTGGAAAACAGGCAATTTCTAATTCATGTAAGTATTGTGTTCCAAAAGTTTTTTTTTCCTAAATTGGCTACAAAACTAGGGTAATGCCAAAAGCCTATTTAAAATATAAGGTATCTTGAAATACAGATGTTCCTCAACTAATGATGGGGTTACACCCTGATAAACCCACTGTAAATTCAAAATACCATTAAGTCAAAAATGCATGTGATATAGTTAACCTAGCAAACATTTTACCTCAGCCAAGCCTACCTCAAATGTGCTCAGAACACTTACATTAGCCTATGGTTGGGCAAAATCATACGGCAACACAATACACTGTACAGTATCGGCTTAACTTCATGATCATATGGGTGACTGGGAGCTACTGGGAGCTGTAGCTCACTGCCATTGCTCAGCATCATGAAAGAGTACATCACAAGCCCAGAAAAAGATCAGAATTCAAAATTTGAAGTATGGTTTCTACTGAATGCATATCCCTTTCATATCACTGTAAAGCTGAAAAATCTAAGTCAAACCACTGTAAGTCAAACCTTATGTATAGTATCTGTTAGCAATTATCATGTTGAGTAATGTGTGAGATATTTACAACAATAATGGAAGATATCAGCAGCTTATCTTTCTAGTTATAGTACAATTAGTGTATGTATACAAACAGTTCTTTCCTTCTCACCCACCCATGTCTTGTTTCATCTCTGAAGCACTAGGTTTAACTTCCAATCTTTAGCAATTTAGGGGTCAAGGTAGGAATATAGTTAGGAATTCCGTCATTTTTTTTTTCTCTTAAACTTCCAACAACTGATACTGAAAAAGACTTGAAGAATGCTTTGAGGGTGGGATGGTTGGGAACCACATAGCATAGAGGATTTTCTCCCTATCTCTACGCTTTTTGACAAATATCAAGGAAGCAACAGCAAAAACACCTAAGAAGATCAGAAAAATCTTTAGAAACTCAAGTTTAATATATTTGTTTTCTTTATTCCAGTGGTTCTCAATCAAGGGTAATTATGCTCCCCAGAAGACATGTGACAATGTCTGATTACATTTTTGGTTTTCACAACTAGGGGGCTGCTACTGGCATCTAGTGGGTACAGGCACAGGATAGCCCCTCACAATGAGATACGGAAATAAAATTTAAGTCATAAAAAGAACCAAAGGCACATTTTATACAGAAAAATATTAGTACAAAATATGAATAAAACTTCTGTAAGTTAAAAAAGAAGAATAATGGAAAGGACTTCAGTAATAAATAACTGGTCACAAAAAGTTTTAATGCAATGTTACACAAATTAAATTGTTGGACTGCTAAGCAAAGGTTATATGAGAAACATTAAAACTAAAAATAGGATTCTATTATTTAAAAGCTATAAACATATTTTTGACAAAACATTTTAGGTAATAAACCTATAAAGCCTATTGAAGATTAAAGACATTTAACAAAATTACCTAGATAATGAAAATTAATTGAAATTATGCCTGGGCCATTTAATTCTAATTCTTTTTCATGCTAAACTACAACTATGAAAAACTGAGTATTTTCAAATTTCAGTGTTATAAGTAATGATAAGCTGAATATAGGCAAAATAAGAACAAAATACATAATACAAATACATAATTTTTATTATATATTCTATTAAAAATCAACGAACAAATAAATATTTTAATGTTATCTAGGAGAACATGAAATAACTTGCCTTGCTTTATAGAATACAATATAAAGACAGTGAGCATAAAATCATTCCAGCCTCTAGGAATAACTGTACCTAGGAATTGTATTTTAAGTGTCTAAAGACCAGCAGCATTGGCATTACTGGTACTTGTTAGAAACGCAGAATCTCCAGTCCCACTCCAAATCTACTGAATAAGATTCTACATTTTAACATAATCCCCAGGTGATTCTTATGTGCATTCATATATACAAAAAGTTGAGAAACACTGCTAAAGATCAGTAAATGGGTGGAAAGATCACCAGCTTTCCTTTGATAGTAGCTACATCAAATGGTTCTAACCTGTAAAACCTGTTTTCCAGTCTTTGTTTAATTGTACTTAGATCCGTTGGATATGCCACTACTGTGCAATACATGGGATAGGCTTGCAGATCCACGGGGGCCACAAATGCTGAGGCAATATCTAAAATAAAGAGATAAGTTTGTAAATTTATTTTTGTATGCTTAAAATAATTCAAGAAGAATTCTACTTGAATTAAGACTTAAAAAGTCCTTATCTACATAATCATTAGTCTGCCACTGTCTTTTCACAAACAATATAGTTTAGCTGACATGAAGAATCTCACTTTTTCTTATGTCTACATATATATTGCCAAATTCTAGGGGTATTCATAGGTTCACTGGGAGAAAGAAACAAATTATATATACATATATCAGACCTTCTAAGTACACACACATTGCCATAATTGACAGTTGGCCATTCCTGAATCTATATTTGACAAAACCATTCTATTATTAACACTGTAACATACTGCCTTCAAATCTAACCTTTGACTTTCTCAAAACTTATTCCCTTATCTCAACTTTACATTATCCTGAGAAATATCAGACAAGTAGAGAAAAGGAAACAGACCCAGAAGTTTTGATTCAGTGATACTACTGATCCAATACACACTGTAAAGTTGTACAGCAAAAACTGTAACTAGTTAGGATTACTCCCACTTTTTTGCTAATTCACATATAATACTTAATATCCTAAAATATTGCTAAAATTATTTAAGGTAGTATTTATATGGCTATTCCTATAAAGTGATGGCATTTTATAAAATACTTCAGATTTGAATATTCCTCACTGTGTGTATCCATCCAGCTCTTCTTACTCATGTTAATTTCTCTCTGGACTCTTTGCAGCTGATTCCTTACTGAGAGAGACGGTTGCTACAAACCAACCACCACATAGTCTAGAGTTACTTCAGAAGCCCAGAATTCAGATAATCAAGTTTTGTGGTCATTGTTTTCTTTCCTTTTAACAAGGCAAAGCAATTAATATACCCTCTCCTTTCCCCTTAAAAAGAAGCTATTTTGTGTGTGTATATAAAGTTGGGGGAGACCAGTACAAGCTATCCATATAATTATAATTGAGCTTTCAACCCTCCTCCACCAATTCCTATCATGTCAGTCTGAATATGTCAAGTGTTTTAAATTGGGTTGTGGAGGACAAAGATTTTTCAGAGATGCCTCTGGCACTTCTAGGAGGCCCTTATTCTAAAATTCAGCTAACATAACCTAATTTATAACTGTTTTAAATAGTTAAGTCCCGTGTTAAGATCACATTCAAAAACAGATTCCACTTAAAATGTTTGAAACCATTGACTTAGGATATTGTGAAAAAAATTTTTAGTTGGAGAATAACAGTATTTTTCCATTACTTTGCATTCTGCCAGTTTTTTCTATACTCATGTGTTCCTTTACTTACCTAATGTCATCAACTGGTTTATTCCTGCCACAATTCTTTCACATTCTTCATCCCTGGGATTGGTACCCCATTCTCCATCAAGAGGTTTATAGATTAGTGATCTGCACTCACCATCAGTTAAAGGAACACTAGTACCTAGTTCTTCAGGAAATACAGCTGAAATAGAAAAGCAGATCATTGCAAATATGTGGTAACTTATTAGTATTTAGGTTAGCTTTAGAATGTAAAGATAATATAGTCACAAAATTAAAGTATATTTTGTATAGATTTGGTAAATATACTCTTTATTTTAACACAGGAAAGTACGTTTCAAGGGTCACGAAAATTTAAGTTAATTTTTAAATGATACTGTAAATGATTCTCTAAATAATTACTTCTCCAAAATTATACCTGAAAATCTGCTCTGTAATCAAGCTACATGTGCAGAAATCATTTCTATAAAATATGCAAATCTCAAAGTTTTCTGAATCACTTCATAATTGCCATGTTTACTTTTGATAAACTATACACAAGGTAAAACTGAACTAAAGTGACATTTTCTAGAAATACTTCAATCGAAGCTTCAATTTTTGAATGTAGGAACAGAGAATTATGAAAATGCATAAATGATGCTTATGCTTATTACTCATAAATTATGAAGGTATGCTTTCTGCATGCTTGAATCTTTAACAGTTTTAGCTGACAGAATCACTAGAGGGTTACGGTAACTCAAAATCTAGAAACGTGTTAGGTAATTTTTCCTTTAGACTAGGTTTTGGCAGATACACACTAAAAATATGCCACTGTTTGTGTACAATCAAAATTCTCATCACAAACTACAATTAAACTCTATAGGTTCGTATGAATGTATATCCAAATAGAACAACAACAGTAACCACCCTTCAATATACTTAGGTAGGAAACGAAATAGTGAATCAGTATCACTTATTCATTAAAAAATATCCAAGGCATTCTAACACCAACTGGCTTCACTGCTATCGTATTCACAACAGTTCAATGTGAGTTCAAATTTAAACTTTTTTTTTTAATAAACGAGAGAAACAAAAAGATAAGCCATGTAACATGGTTACAAATTAAGATATTTTATAATTTTAACAGCTCTAATTTAGCAGTGAGATAAAAACACATAATATTGGCATTAAATTTTCAAAGTGATAATTCCTGCAAAGAACTAATCTTAGCTTACCAGCATGACCATCTTCTCATTTCTGAGGTCTATGAAATTGGGTTATTTTCTCCAACAGTTATTTTTTCTCTGACTTTGGAATACAATAACTACTGAGTAACTCAATTAATAAAACATGATTTCTACTACGTTAGAAATTAGATGTTTACCTCTTTGTATTTTAAAGATCTTATTTTTATCTGCTAACAGATGTTATTATTATTATTGTTGTTGTTTTTGAGATGGAGTCTCACTCTGTTGCCCAGGCTGGAGTGCAGTGGTGCAATCTCGGCTCAGTGCAACCTCTGCCTCCCAGGTTCAAGTGATTTTCCTGCCTCAGCCTCCTGAGTAGCTGGGATTACAGGCACATGCCACCACACCAGGCTGATTTTTGTATTTTTAGTTGAGATGGGGTTTCACCATGTTGGTCAGGCTGCTCTCGAACACCTGACCTCGTGATCCACCTGCCTCAGCCTCCCAAAGTGCTGGGATTACAGGTGTGAGCCACCATGCCCGCCCTGTAATATATTATTGTTAAAAAAATCAAACAATATAGAATAACAGAAAATAATTTATGAAGTCTTTATAATCCTACTCTATAAATAATCATTATTAAAATCTGGACTATATCCTTTTAATCCCTTTTTGGCTTATGCAATTGTGTATGTGTGTTGTATTTTTTACAAACAAACAAAAATGGGCAATGAAGTGGAAAGAATATATAAACTCCAGGCTTTGGTCCCAATGACCTTTTCTCAGTACAAGGAAGACGTCGTACTCACTGCCTAAGGCTAATTATTAAATCCTGAATGTGTCAGGCCATATGCACAATGACAGTTATATTGTCATTATTAATTATATCTTCGTTGAGCTCTTGTGTGTGTCAGACTCTACAATAAGCACTTTACACACATGATGCTATTTAATCCTTAAAGCAGCCCTATAAGGAAGGTATTAGCTTAGATGGTTTCAAAGGCCGAGTCCTAAAAAGTTGGGGAGTGAGGCTTTATGGAACTTGCCAAGATCACATAAAAAATGACAAGTCAGGATATGAACTGATGTCCGTCTCTCTCAAAAGCATAACCTCTTAACTGTCATGTTACACTTTAAGCACTCTGCTAAAGTTACAAAAATGTCTCTGCCTCCCAAATGCATACTTTCTTGAATAATAATTAATAAAAAAATTTCATATTTTGTTGTAATAAATTAATTTCAATCTTCCCTGTGAGACCATAAATTCCAAGTAGGCAAGAGTTATATCTATATTCTTTGCTGCTGAATCTCCCCTACTTCAAGGTGTACAACAAATATTTGCTGAATGAATGTTTTCTATTTGATACTCACAGCAACTGTAAGTGATAGCATGTTAGCAAATCTTAAATAATTTCTTAAGAAATTAACTCCATAATGCAGACACAAAAAGCCCAACACACACTTACCATTATTAGGTATAAGCTCCATATCCCAAGGACTCATCTTTTCTGTATCTCCATTGTCCCAGCTTAAAGAAAGAAAAATCATTATATTAAAAAATCTAAATTATTGTATCACAATTTTAATAAAATCAATTATCAAAATAATTGCTTCTGTGTTTAAAAGAAGTCTCTTTATCTCTTAATAGATGGGAAAAAAAATTCACAGCAAGCCTAGGTGAACTAAAATACAACAAATGTTTCCTTACCAAACATTGTAGCATTGAAACAGACTATCAGGATACTCAAGTTGAAGAGGTTCCTGGCTTTCAATTGTTCCAAACCACCAGGCATCATCTATGACAGACCTGAAGCGGTCACCTGGCCAAGAACAAAAACTATCTCATTATTCTGAAATGCATGGCTGCTGTCACTGCTTTTTCCTAACGTAAACCTTTAAGTACCTAAACTGCCTGTATGACTTCAGAAGACAAAAAGTGAAACACACACTCCAAAAATAAGTAAGTACAATCAGCAATACCAAGAGAAAAAAGGTATTTAGTAAGCATACTTGAAGTGTGACTTAACAGTTTTCAATTCTACTTTTTATATTTCATTAAGGTATATAGAAATTCGCTTGCTTTAGGCATTTTTACCATCTAGTATTTTAAATTCATCATTAACACTATACCCAAACTTTTCACTCAAAGAAGATTATAATTTAGGTAAATTCTACTCAACAATTACTTAGTCTATTTTTAATTTCTTACTTTCTGTAAGCAAGTTTTCCCAACCAACAATCAATCAAGACTCCGTCCTAAAAAAAACAACATAAAATCCAACCTGTCTTCCTTCATCTCAATCACTCTTAATACTCACTCACTCTCCCTTTCCTGTAAAAGGAAACAAAAAAAGAAACAAAAATAAAACAACTAGTCTTTTTAAAGCAGAGGACACTCCTTGTGTCTATTTCCTTATCCGACTGCTGTCATCGTATTACTTAACCTGCTTTTTCCCAAAGACCTGAACAAGCTATAAATGCTATGGCTTTTTCTTATCTAAATCTTCTCATGTTCCTTCCGTGTCATAAGAAAACTGTAAGTCACTTACTTCCTTTATGCAATGCTTTCCTGTTCCTCAGCTATCAGAGTACTTGAGTTTTCTCGTGGCTAGCATAGGCTAGAGTCTGAAAGACTTGGGTTCAAATAATGTATCTGTGTAACTTTGAATATATTAATTATTTTTGACCTTCGTTTTCCTTGTCTATAAAATAGAAATGGTGAGGTCTACCTCCCGGTAAGTTTTGAATAATGCATTCTATTAAAGTACTCTACATTTTTGACACACAGTTAAGTTAAAATGAATTAAGTTAGCAATTAATCTGAATCAGTTTTATTTTTAAACTCATAAAGAGAAAAGTATCTATGTTCTCCTTTTCTTACCAAAAAGGATTTAAAAGTTTATAAAAACATACAGCATGAAATTAGTTAAAAATTTGAAAAACAAGGTAAAAGAATATGATAAAAAAGAAAATTGGAGCCAGGAGAAAGTTCACAGGACACAACTGCAAGTTGTTGACAGTTGTTCCTCAGATGCATACTAGTGACACTTAAGAAGCTACTATATAGTTTAATAAGAAGCATTCTTGACACCACCACAACTTCACACTAAACATGAAGAGCTTCAAAAAGCTGTATCTTATGACCCTATACAGACTGATCATCATGCTAAAGAGGAAGAACTGAATAATGTGTGCCTAATCATAATGAACAGTATCTGCAGAGTAACAAGAAAGTTAAGCAAAGAACCTGGACTACTACTGAAGTCCACCATCGAGAGTAAGCCTTAAAACATTTCTAAGGAGGGGCTGAAGTAAAAATTACTAATGTAATTTTAAATGGCAGTCGATAGGTGAATGCATATATCCTCAGATATAAAAATATTAACCCATAAATTAGAATAAAATCATAATATTCAAATGAGAAAATTATGACATTCATCCATTTTAACTCTCTCTGATTTGTCCAATGTCAGCCATATAACTTTGCCGAAGTTATGAGCTCACTTCTGGAATATTCCTGAACTTTGATCTCTATTATTTGTTCTGCAATTTGTTGGCAAATTCAAGTCCTTAAAAAATAAAATTTATCATATCAAGTAATGTATGTGAAAAATTTTAAAAATCAGATGTACCAAAGGCTGATAGCCAAAACCAAGAAAAATGTTTACATCTATTTTAACTACTACTTCTTGACTTACAGATTTCTTCACTCATCAATTTTTGACAGTAAATATCAGAGTTGATTCTTGAAGACATGGGTTTTAACTGACCAGGTCTACTTACACACAGATTTTTCCAATAAACAGATTTGTCCCTCTGTATTGGCAGATTCTACATCAGCAACCAAATGCAGATTGAAAATACAGTATTAGTGGGATGTGAAATCCATGAATACGGAAGGGTCAACTTTTCACAATGGGGGGTTCCATAGGATCAACTCTGGGACCTATGTATGCAAAGATTTTGGTATCCATGGGGGTCCTGGAAGTAATTCCCTGTGGATACTAAGGGACAACTATAACCTTAATACAACTGTACATAAAAAGCATGTGTATTATATTTAATCCATATTCAATTTTTAATAATGACTATGTAAATACTGCTTGCTCCTAAGCAAAAGCGCATATAATGCCTTTCTTATATAATTTTGTTTTCCCTAAAATTAATAATTATTTTTTTAACGCTTGGTTTTCAGTGAATTTACAATTAAATCTTTCCACAATCTCTAACAGCTCAAGCTGTAAAAGACATTCTTCAATGTTATTTTGCACGAAGACAAACTTCCTAGATAAGTTATGTGTTCCAATTTTTTCCCCCTGAAGATTTTCCTCTTGAGGGAGATTTGGACTTGCTAGGTAGCTGCTATCCTGAGGCTTCTACTGAATATTACTTGGGATTCCTTTTAACTTTTCCTGCTCTGGACTTCCTGTTTCTTGAGGGGATTCCATACTTTTCCTTTTCTTGGTTTACTCCCTTATTTGATGAAACACATCTTTCAAAACTTCTAGGGAAATGGTACATGAGATGTAAATTTTCTTTCTAACTTCTATGTCCATGATTTCGATAACTTGCATTTTCTTAATTTCTCTTTATAGAGCACATACAAGTTTTCAAAAAAGGACAAACCACCATGCCAATGCATTCCAATGGCACTGAAGGATAGACTAGTATGTCAATTGATGTCCTTTTTCAAACCATACATACCATATACACATCACACCATGACACACATTGGTCCTATATGAAATTTTTAAGAGAACTGCACTCCTAAGTGGCACATCATCTATATGTAAATTAATGCACCTTAAGTGCCTGAAAACTTTTAAGGATTTTAGCTTCTTTGAGACTTATGATACTAATTTTAAAGATTATAACAGGATTAACCAATAAAAGAAAAATGTCAGTTTAGCTTTAGTACAAACTTACACATCTTGTTAAGCTTCTTTTGGCTTCAAATATAAATTCTATTATTAATATTTTTATATAAAAATTTAACATGTACAACATGCAAAGAAAAAATCAAATGTAACAGAAAAACATGTTTGAAATTTAAGCATCAACTAAAGTATTTTCACTTCTAAACAAAACTGAACAATACCTCTGACACAGTACCTTACTTTGTTATTAACATTCCTACAAATAGCAAAAAGATTTCTCTGATAATCTTTTTCTCAATTATGAAAAATAGTAAATCACTAAGAAAAAAACCACATCAAACATCTATAGCTTCTAAATAAATTACCCACCTATATTCCATCGCCTATATTTTGCATCATCAAATTGTTGTCTCAAGACTAGGAAATCTATAACGTCAGGCATATCATGGTATCTAATTACAAACAGAAACAAACTGATTAGGTCACATACCTAAAAATACCTAAAAGATGTTCAAATGTATCTGAATCTTGAAAAAAAATCTACAATACTAAGAAAACCATTGCCTCTTTCAACAGTCCTTACTTCATGGTAAATGATCCGCCAGTCAGTTTACCGGTATCAGGATCTAGAAAAGCAAGTTTAAGGCAGCAAAGGGTAGGTAATCCCACTTCATACTTTATGCCAACTATTTTCATAAGTTCTTGTTCCTGAGAGAGACAGAGAATATGAGAAACTATCTTTACAAAACAAACCACAAAACAGACTGCTAAACATGGTTGAGAAAAAATTTCTTGGTTTAAATCTTGATTTGGATGGTGATGACTGAGTACATGTAAAAATTTACTTAGCTCTATACTTAAGATCTGTGCACTTTATAGTATGCAAGTTACAATGAAATTTTTAATAAGTAAGAAAGGGAAGAAAAATATGGAGAACTTTACTAAAGTAAGTTTTCTATTACCATTCCAAAGACCTATTGGTAACTTTGAACTACTGCTGACAAATCTAGAAATACACATCAAATTTATGAATACAAAGCTTACCTAAGACTTATTCCCTAATTTTCACTATAACTAAATTTTGTACCCAACCCATAAACTGCATTGGAGTATATAAATTCACTCAAATCATGTGTTTCTCTGGATGAAAATCAAACACCTGCTACTCTCTAGGACTGCTTCAATTAAACAAGGTATCTTCATGATGCAGTTTCTCATAGTATTAATAGTAACCTTTGATACAATTTTCTCCAAAATCCATAATTGTATTTTTGGGGCTATTAAATAATAAATCAAAGTCATACCCGTAGTTCCATTTTATGCCATGGTTGTTTTTTGGGATTGATACTATATATTTTATTTTTTCGGGCCATTTCAACATAGGCTTCATGTCCTTGTCGGAAATAATAAACCTAAAAAATAAAGTCATATTAAAACCTGGATGTGTTTCCTTTAATCCAATATACAGGGTATCAGCTGAAATTGCAAAGAGAAAATCTAATGTCTTTTGAGCTAACAGAAATTATAACATTTTCTCCCTCCTGCTTTATCTCAAGTTGTCTTAACATCACTAAATCATAACCAAAGTGTTCCAAATAACATTACTTTGAATACACACAAGTCAAGATGAAAAGTTATTTTCTGGTTTCACCATTTTATTCTTAAATTCAAAATAAGTTAATCTATATTGCATAATAACGTTGAGTAACTAATAAGTTTATTGTCCACTTTTTTCCTTTTTTTTTTTTTTTTTTTTTTGAGACGGAGTCTCACTCTGTCCCCCAGGCTGGAGTGCAGTGGCACGATCTCGGCTCACTGCAAGCTCTGCCTCCCAGGTTCACGCCATTCTCCTACCTTGGCCTCCCGAATAGCTGGGACTACAGGTGCCCACCACCACCCCTGGCTAATTTTTGTATGTTTACACGGTGAAACCCTGTCCTTAACATTTTTAGCAAGTGGTTTGTACATATGCAGAAAACATTAAAATGAAAAATGTACTTTCACATGTATTTTTATCCTTACACAAATCCTGGTAAGACAGCAGGGCATACATTTACCCCCATTTCATAAAGATCATATTTAAGTGACTCCTGACTACTGTCTTGGAGAACTAGTACTTGAGACAGCAGTGTGACACCCACTAGTAGAAGAGCGTGCTTAAAAACGCTAAGTTTTCAGTAACATTTTGGGATAGCCACTATCCCATACTTTCATTCTATTCATTAATACCATTATTGTTCCAGTTGGCTGGAACTTTAAATGACGGAATAGTGCTGAATAATGAAGACCTTCAAGCACCTTCAAGCGCCAGCAGTTAAAAAGACAACCTAACCACTTTGAAAGGAAATCATTCAACAAGGAATTACAAACTTTTCTGGCCACATTGAAATAATGTATTAAAATATAATTTTACATCTTAATGCTACAGGATGTTAAGATCTATCACTGTACTATACTACAACAACGTGGTAATGCTCTGTGCTCTTCAAGTCTTATGAGGCAAGTAGGATTTCTAAATAAATTCATTTGGACTGTTCTTTAGAATCACTCTAGCATTAAAAAGTTTTTGTTTTCTTTGTTTTCTTAAAGTGTCAATTACCACTTATACTGTTAATTCGTATGCTTTGCTAAAGAAGCTTCTATTTTAAGTCCCAATTTATTTATGGTCAATCTGTTGGACACCAGATAACACTCCTATTAAAATTTGTGTACAAAATAAGGAGACATTAACCTTGAGTAAGAAATGTTGAGACCAGTTCTTACATTTTCATTCTAAATTCACAAGTACATATTCTAAAACAATGGTCTCATCCTCAGTTTCTTAAAAATTAAATAGTATTTCTTATTCTAAGATTAAAGATTTTTTAAAGATCTAATAAACTATGAACATTGTGGGTAAACAAAACACAACACTTTTTGAAATAAAATTAAATGAAAATAAGGTGCTAAATTTCATTTTTCCTTTAATATGTTATACATTAAGCCTTAAGACAAATGAATATATTTTAATTTAAAAAGATAAAGAAAGCTGACAATAAAACTCCTCTTATTAAAACATACATTCCTTTTTTAAAACACTAACAAAATTTTCATTCTTATGATATTTAGATTTACAGCAGCTTCAAAGAGGATTATCATCAGATTTTCCCTCCTAATTGTACTTTCTCCATACATAGATACAAACATCTAGAATGAGATACTTTATGAAACTGATTCAATTTTCTAGAAGTCTATTTCAAGAGCTATTAAAAATGTTTAAAACTATGTGAGGAAAAAAAGGATAATTTAAAACTTTTAGAGTACCTCATCGCCCATCTGTGGCACAAATGGACATCTCCGGGGAATAGTATCGGTAATCCATGTTGACGGCAACCATTCTTCTAATGTCAAACCGTTTTCAGTTAGTTCTCCCACAGCCAATCTCTGACAAAATTTAGAACATTGTTAAGTAATCATCAGAAAAGCATTAATCCACCAATCTACTCTTTAAAATAACTATAAAGATAATTGGCTAAAACGGGAAGGGCACCACTGTACAATATTATATACAGTTGGCCCTGTGTATCCATGGGTTCCGCATCCATGCATTCAACCAAACTTGACTGAAAATATTTGGGAAAAACAGTCCACAAAGTTCCAATAGGCAAAACTTGAATTTGCTACATTCTAAATACTATGCTGAACCCACACAAATAAAATGATGTGTAGGCACTGTATTAGGTATTATAAATAATCTAGAGATGATTTAAAGTATATATAGGAGACTGTGTGTAGGTCACATGCAAATACTATGCCATTTTTTATAAGAGACTTGAACATCCCTGGATTTTGTTATCTACGGGGTCCTGGGACCAATCTTCCATGACTACTGAGAGATGATGATCCTTTAAGCAACAAAACACTTACCCTGGAAAAAAATGGCAGCAGTGGCAACAGAGTTATTCAATCTCTCCAAATCACTGTCTACAAAGAGAACTAACTGGAAGCAAAACCCAAAAATCCACAGCCAACACTCACAACAAGGTAACAAGATATCCCCAGAAACCCCAAAGTACAAGCTCTGTGTATTCTCCTTTCCTTTCAAAATGCTATCAATTTTATAAACATTCCAGATAACAAACCAAGATACCCTAGAGTCTTTTTTTTTTTTATCCTAGTTCTAGTAAGTTAGAACTAAATAAGATATTCTCATAGGAGCTGAGTAGTGCAAGATATAGAAGGCTAATTATTTCCATAAGCTGGACATTATACTTCTACACAGCATGAGAAACTATGCCTCTGAGAAAGTTCCTTAACTTTGCTGGTCACCCGCAAGTGGCCACAATGGTCTTGATGTTGTTACCTTAGACGCAGAAAAAAATGAACTTTCTAAGACTATTTGAAACCTAGTATTTTTATAAGTAAAAAAATGTTATGCAACTGATTAAAGTCTTTTGTGAATCACATGTAAAACATTAAAGATGACTGTACACTAAGACTGCTACATTTTACTCATGTTTTTTAAAAAAACAAGGTACTGTAATTATCACTATAAAATAATACTTGTTTACTAAAAGAAGTAATGCCATAACATGGTATCAGAGAACATTACTTGCAATAGGTACTACTACTGCTTCCCAACTGTAGTAGTTATCATTTTCCTCTTTTTCCTATTAGCCACACCATACTGTTTCTCAGTCAAACACATCAAGAGCACTACCCTGAAGAGTTAGGGTAAAGGTCTTTGATATTTACTATACATGAGATGGGTTCATTACAGAATTTTAGGTAGAAGCATAGTACGATCTCACTTACATTTTAAAAGGATCACTCTGGATGCATCAGAACAAGGATTGGCAAATCATGACCCTCAAGGGCAAGTCCAGCCTGCCACAATTTTCATAAATTTTTACTGGAACACAGCCATACCCATTTGTGTATTATCTATAAATGCTATTATGGCAGAGTAGCTGGCCTTCTGTAGAAAAAAATCTGTCAACCTATGCTTTAAAGAATAGACCCTAGGGAGAAAAAGGGAGAAACAGGAAGATACATAGGATGCTACCACCGTAATATAAATGAGAGTTCAGGTTGATTCACACCAATGTGATAGCAGTGGAGTGGTGAAAAACAGTAAAGTGCTGAATATATTTACAATTCATTAGATAATTAATTCCCTGATGGACTAGATGTGGACTATGAGAGAAAAAGAGGAATCAAAGATATCTCCAGGGTTTCTGGTATAAACTACTAAGAGAGTCATCACATTACTGAGATAAAGAGGGGTGGGGTACAGCGGGTTTGAGAAAAAAGCTTGGTAAGTAAGTTTTGTCGGTGTTAGATGTGAGGAGTAAATTGATATCCAAACAGTAATTTGATATATGCACAGTTATCAAATAAAGTAGCAATTATGTTATGCACTGAGTATATCAGAGAGATCCCACAACCCAGGAACTTCCACTGTGTTTTATTCAGAGCAGTTCTGATTTTATCAGTTTTGTATACTGAGGAGCTAAGTTTGTTTGAAAAGGGTTTCCTTTGACTAATAAAAAGGAAAAGACAGAAAAGCTTGAAAATCATAATTCTAGCCTCAATACGGACTATTAATTGCTAAGCAAGTATTTCTCCCTATAAGGAATTATCTATGTTCAATGGGGAAGCTAACAACTTTTACACCAAGACAGGTAAGTTGTATATTAAATAAGAATAATCGTATGTATGACTGAAAGACTTTGGCATCACCAAAAATCATTATGAGGACAAATCTTACAGCCCAATAATTCCTGAGGAACTTAGAATGTTTGGTTGAGGAAGATTTCTGTGACTTATTAATTACAACCATTAAGGGGTTAAGAATGCATTGAGTATTCTTTAAGATTTCCAGCTCCATGATTTGGGTTTTTTTTTAAATATGGAAAGCATAAATAATTTCTTTCCTTTCCAACCATGGGAATGCTTCTAGGCACAGCTCAAATCTTATTTCCTCTAGGAAATCTCATCTGAAATTCCAACATAAGAAGACCCTGTTTAAGAAGGGAAATACTTGTATGTTTATTCAAGATAACTAGAGGACTAGGGAATAAGAACAAGTCCATCTACTGTTACATCACTGCTAGGCATATGAACAAAATTTAAACTAAAGGGAATACCCTCCAGTATCCTAACCTTACCATATTTAAAGTGACCCACATAATTCTATTGGCAGAGTCATCCCATCACAATACTTTGTCACAACAACACAGTGAAATTAAAACATGCCAAATGTTAGCAACAGATCTACATGTGCCAGTGCATGAAGAAGCCCATGGTATTAGTGTGAGGAAAATTATCAAATTAAGGGGACCAGATGAAGCAAACTGTACTCTTGGGATGAAAGAACTGTTCTCACAGTGACTTATCACTGCAAACCTCAAAAGTTCACCAAAACTGTCCTGAGATGAAAAAGAATATTTACCTTATTAGCCAGACACATGGCTAAATCAGTTTTCTTTAACCAATCTGTCTACTACATATATAAAATAACAAATCAGACTACATTTATCATCACTGACAAGGTAGAAAAGAAAAACTGTGGTAACTATGTGGCATTCTCTTTGGTAAAGCTTCCCCAAACAAAAGCAAAAGAGGCAACAAGAAAAATAGCAGCTGTGGAATCTAAATTAAAGTAACTCATAAAGCTGAAACAATAACTCAACAAATGTAGATAAAATAAACACTTAAAACAAAACAGATATATTATATTCTTATACATTTTGAAAGCTCTGTGGGAATAAAGACCCTATGGTCTCCCACTATTTAATTCTACAAATGACAACTTATACTTAAATGGCAGAGGTTACAAACAAATCTTCCTTTTAATCAAATACTGCTTCCCATTTACAGTCTTTAGGGAAGCAGAAAACATGCCCCTCGTGTTGTATTTACTTTAGAACAAAAATTAAACAGCTCTCACTTTCATTCCTATGTTGAAGAATTTCAAGTCCATATGAGCTGACAGATATTCTTCCTATAATATTTCTTACATTCTCTGTTTTTTCTCAAATTGTCCAGACTTAACTGTGGTAATCAAATCAATACTGCTACTGACCAAAGGACTGAAAACTTATGGCTCACACACTTTAGATTAATGAAAGAATGTTAAAAGCCCATCTTACCCCACTTTAGCTTCATATCTGCCTTGGGATCAATTGTGACAAGCTGTGTCATTTCTACTCTGTGTGATGTGCCTCCCTCAAAGACTTTGTTTATTTTCAGCAATAACAATTAATAAGGATAGTTAAACATAAAGGCAATTCATAGACTAATATACTATATGTTTTGTATCATTACGTATTTCACATAAATAAATTCCACCAGACTGTCAAGAAAAATCTGATCTTTTTAAGATTAAATTTCAATATTTAGAATATGGCAATTTTGTAAGTAAATACTTTTACATGCTAAATATCTAAAAACTCGAATAAACTAAATATATTTAGGTATACTTTTTTACTACTGTGTACTTCTGAGTTTTTTCTATTATTATTTGCTGATACACTTCAACAATGTTTGTGATCAATTGTACTTCAACATGTGATGTGTGCTTTAAACTGTTTCCCTAGAAAACACCAAATTTGTAATTTTAAAAACCAAACCTTTTGTTTTCTTTCTTTGGGTTTCTTTTTCTTTGGTGATATTGGTCCATCTTTTTCTTCATTTACTTTTTTCTTTTCCTTTTTAATCTGTTTTTGCTTCTGTTTTTCAGATTCTTCTTCTTCATCTGAACTGCTTTCTGCTTTCTTGGTTTTATTCTTAGGAACTTTCTTTGGTGGCTGCAGATTAATTCCTGCATCTGCTGTCCAGTCAGAGTAATCACTGGAGTAGTCACTAGAAGGACAGAAGGGATTTTTAGGTAACACACAAGATAAAATTTTAAGACTTGTTTTATAAAAATGAAAAGAAAGATTATAATAAAGAGAAATAACAAAACAAATACTTAAACTAACAAAAAAAATACTTCCCTAATTTTCAACTTATCTTCAAAAGTTTCTTAAAATTCTACAGGCTTTACTTAAATATTGCAAAAGAAAAAAAACCTCCCCCAAAACCTGAAGATACATAAAGACACAACTTTAAGTGAAAAAACAAATTTAAGTACCTTTCAAGATTTTAAGAAAAATATTGACTTCTGAGTGTTGCATATGTTACAAATTCTGTGGGTATATAAAAATAAGGAAGAGGGGGTCACTCTTCTCAGTTCTAGTAACAGCGTAAAGATAACCCTGGAGAGCACAGAAGGTGTCAACATTGAGGAGATATGGGGATTCCTTTTTTAAGAGGAAGTGGGAGTTCCAGACAGAGGGAACTCTTACGGTCCAGCACTAGTGCTCTCAAGGTAGCTGGATATTGAACTGGCAGAGTCAGAAGTGTTCCTGCCCAGGGGAAAGACTGTGTTTGCAAACGTTACTCTGCATGTAAAGTAATGAAATTTCATTTAGATAAAATTATTCTACCTACCTACACCTTAGGTGTATCTTATGCTTCAAAGCATGCCATGATTCAGAAAAATACAGGCCTTACTGTATTTTGTATACTGCTTCCAATCATGTTTGTCATTTCTTTTTAGTTTACCTTCATTGACAAACGATTTACTGAACCAATCATGTTGTAAAATAAAGAATCTAGTTGTATTATCTTCTATAGTAATTTTAGTATGTGAGCATATTTACTTATTTTGACAATTTTATGAACATACATGTCTTAAAGGAATCTAAGTTGTACTATGTTAAAAGCAATAATTAGCTTGCCTAGATTTAATGATGTATAACCTCATGCCTCTAAAAATACTGCTGTTAACATTAACGCGGAAAAAGCAGATTTTACTGGAGCTTTATTCCATTGTCACTAACCCTCCCCACTACCCCTCTCCACTGTCCTAATGTTCTTTATAAGCACGTACCTAAATCTCTGATTATTCTAATCATCCCAGATAAGAATAAAATAATTCAGATGTTTTCTAACACGATTTAGTCATTTCACTATGAAATTTAAAATGATTTTTAACAACTTAAACTATTTTCAGATATGCTATTCTAAAACAGGTTGTCTTCAACTTATGAGCATTTTATTTATACTAGCTCCAGCCAAGGCCACTGTAAATGGTACCTGCCAAATCACACAGTTATCACTCTCTAGAGTACTTGGCTCTTACAGAAGATCTTCTGCTGTCAGCATAAACATAATTACAAACTCCAGAGCCCAGCATTCTTTACAACTGTCCTCAACTGCTAAAACCACCACTACTCTTTTAATACAGGAACCCCTATGTCATCTCAGGGTTTGAAATACTCTGATTCCATTGTTGAGCCAAAAGAACTTCAATGTTTCCTTCACTGACCTGTTCTGAATACAGAAAACTACTAGATATAACCACACACATTTGCACATCATTACCAGAAATCACTACTGTGAGAATAGGAGAGCCCTTGGTTGTAGAACTGAGGAACTCTTACAGCCTCTACTTCATACTTTGTCTCTTCTATTTTAAGAGCCACTAAGGTGGGGGATAAGTTTAGCAGCTAATCATAACTGCCATCCCCAAAGGCTATACTCTCTTCTTGCTACTAAGACCTTGAAAAGTTAGCCAAGGTCATAAGCCCTGCAACAATGTGAATCGCCAGTATAAGGAGTTGGAATCCTCACTGGCCTGGTCAAATAAGGTAGGGATAACAAGAAAAAGGAGAGCTTATTCCTCTTATCATTAGTATTCCATAAATTCCACTACATTTAAGATAGTTAACTCAGGAGGCTTGCATTACTTCCTTAACTTCACACTTTTCAAAACCAGTAATGAAACTGGTTTGCAATTCAACATTATAACAGTATTCATAAGAAAAAATACTAAATAAGAAGATAAAGTTAAAAGCATCATTTTGCAGATCCAGTTGTAATCACCAAAAAATTATTTTCTATAGAGAACATATATCAGAAAATCTACATTTCATATAACTTCAAAAACTCTCTGAAGAACCTGAAATGTGTTGCTGGTTTAAAAAAAAAAATCACCTTTCTAAAGATTTTATATAACATTTGGAGAAATAAAAATCATTCATTTACCTAGAACTGCCATCACTGTGCCATGCTCTCTCTTCTTCTTCAGATGTTCCACCACTGACAGCAACTACTTCACCTTCCTAAGATATGTTGAATACATGTCTTATTGCATAATTTTATAAAATAACATTTTATGATTACAGAAAATATCAGTGATATCTTATAGTATCAGTCATATTGGGATATTTAAAATTTGATTTAAATTAGTTGCAAAGGGTGTCGTGGCTCATGCCTGTAATTCCAACACTTTGAGAGGTTGAGGTGGGCGGATCACTTAAGGTCAGGGGTTCGAGACCAGCCTGGCCAACGTGGCGACACCCTGTCTCTACTAAAATACAAAAAAAAATTAGCTGGGCATGGTGGCGGATGCCTGTAATCCCAGCTACTTGGGAGACTGAGGCAGGAGAATCGCTTGAACCCAGGAGGCAGAGGTTGCCGTGAGCTGAGATTGCACTGCTACACTCCAGAAAGACACTGTCTCAAAAATAACCAATAATAATAAAATAATAAAAGAGTTAGCTGCTTCTCTTTAAAAAATTAGTTGCAAAATACAGCTCTTACCTTTTTTTTTTTTTAACAAATAAATGAGAATACTTAAATGTATATAAAGACATAATACTTACTAATATTGGATTCAGAGCAATCCTACAGATTACCATTTTAAAAGCCCCACAACGTATCTTCTAGATAAAATTATATCAAATTCCATATTTACATTTGAAATTATTACTTCTTGAGCCTTTTCAAAATACAAAGCTTTCTTTTCTATAGGTGCTTTGAGAAGGCACATTTCTGTTTATTTATTATAGGCACATCTATGTTTTACTTATTAAAACAGCTTTCCCATATACAAAAGGATGTTCCACTTCTGGTCTTATTTTATCCAAATGGTAAAGGACTAAAAAATACTCAAACACTCTGTTTCTCTTTAGTAAATATTCATGAGTCAACAAAGAATATTATCTGTGAGAGCATTTTCTTCATAAAGTTGGGTTTTTTGATGGCAAAAATACTGCATGTCTTCCTCGCTTAAATAAACTTCATGCTCCAATAACAATAACACCTCATATTTATTAAGCTTTTACTGTATGTTACAAACTATTCTAAGCACTTTGTATGTATCACCCCATTTGGGCTTGACAACGCACTATTGGTGATAGAGAGAGTTATTTAAATAAAACAAACTAAAGCTTTAAAAAGTTGAGAACTTTGCCCAAGGCAGCACAACTAATAAGCAACAAAATTGATTTAAGCCCAGCTCACTTAAGTCCAAACCCTGGACAACATTCCACAAGAATGGTGTTACTTACTTGCTGGGCATATTCAGGTAACTTTTAAAGACGACAATGGGGTGGATTATTTTAATATTTAAATAAAATAATATATTTGGGACAAAAGTTTTCCTATTTTGATGTTTTAATGAAGAATGTGAATTATATGTCTATTCCACAGTTATGAAAACTAAGCAAAAATGAAAAAAATCACATTTGCATATTTTATTAACAAAAAGCATATTTTATTAACAAATTTAATCACTGCTCGATATAACAAATAAATCTAAGCAAGTGATACGACTTTTCCCACATTTCATGTGTTACTTCCTTAAAGGGGGGAAAAAATAAACAGAATTATTCCTACATTACAAGTATGAAATACTACAGTACAAAACATTTCAACGAAAAAACCAGAGTTCCTTCCAATTAATTAGTATACTGTGCCCAAAGTGATACTTTGTTCTCAATGGGCTCCTCTAGAAATATATTCTAAATTTCTAAAAGGATGTTAAAGCATAAATAAATTAGTTTTGAAGACACTTGAAGGACTTCTTATAACAGATGTGTTTCTGGAAATACAGTTCTTAAGTTTCTAATAAACAGAGTACTTCAAATATTATATAGAAACAATATTTAGAGGAAACTCTTTCAAAAATAAAGAGACATTTTGTAAGATAATTAGCCCACATGTATTTTATGTTTTGTATGTCTATTCAAATTACCATGAGTGAAGTTTATATAATCAGTATATTTCTCTTTTTTTGCCAGAATGAATATATCATTTTGACCTGGCCATATGAGGACCCAAAGCCACTGGAGACTAACTTAAATTGTGGTTAGAATACTCTCAGTTTGAGTTAATGTTGCCCTGGCCAAAGAGAATTTATTTAGATAATTCTCATAAACGCCTAGCATTTCAAAGCACAACATGGCTTCAAAAGTGTATAGTAGTCAATATCTAAAATGATTACATCTCTAACCTGTAAAGAAGGAAGGTGATGGGGAGGGCTAAGAAGAAAAGAGGAACGGACATGGTTTAACTGCTTAATAAGATTGGTTTATGACTGCAAACTGATTGCCTTCACTGAAACAATACATAATTTAGTAAGGACAGTAATATTTACTGAAATAATGACGCATGAAGAGTATTTAAAAATTACACTGAGAAAGCTATAAACTGGCACAGAGATTAAAAACTAACAAAGACTGCCAAATACTTACTGATTTGCTGTTATACTTACACTATACTACAGCTTCATGGTACCACTTAAAAAGCTTGGCTTTAAGGTAAAACAAACTTGCATTTAATCCCTGTTCTACCTCTTAATAGGTGATTGTATAATCTAAATATCTTGGAGCCTCAGCATCCTTATCTATAAAATAAGAATAATTAATTCACATGAGTTTATTTTGTGGATTTGAAATTATGTGTATGTGTGCCATGCCTAGAAATAGATTTTTAGAAAATAAAAGCTGTATCATAATACCCCAAAATGCCATATTTAAACTACATCCACAAACGTATCAATAAATGCAAAGAATGAAACTCATATTTAAAAAAATAAGTAAAAATGACATCTAATTTATGAATGTGCTGATATCTTACATCTGAAGAACTAGTGCCATTTTCTATCTCTTCTGAGGGTCTAGGAGTCTCCTCCAATGCAGATCTCGTACGATAATTGTGTTGATTTGTCTGTTGCTTTTTGGATTCTCCAAGATCCAGGAAATGCTCATGAGCATGATTCTAGAAAAAAGTAAATTAAATTTATTTACAGTATGTTTAAAGAGCAGGATTTTTAGTTTAAAAGTTAAATTTTTGTAATCAAAAAAATTCAAGCTGGGCATGGTGGCACATGCCTGTAGTCGAAGCTACTCAGGAAGATTGCTTGAGTCTAGGAGTTCAAGGCTGTAGTGAGGGATGATTGCACCACTGCACTACAGCCTGGGTGACAAAGTGAGACAATTTATCCTAACATACAACAATGAAAACATTTGTTCATATTTAAGATATCACTTAATTGGACGAGGTTATAGTACCAACTCAAATATTTTAACATTCATCAAGTTAAATCAAAGGCTTATCAAGGTTATGTTGAAATTTACTTGCTGATTGATTAGTTATAAAAACGCTGGTTTTTTTTCTAATTAATGACAGACAATGATTAATGATAAAAGACTAAACCAAACACTGAACTCTTCTGTATCTACAGCAAACCTACAGAAATGACGTAAGAAAAAGGATAATGGGCTGTGAGGCATATGTAATAGGCAGAGGCAAATTGGAAACCAAACTGGGGATCATAAAGCTACTGTGCCACAATGAAGACAAGACGCCATGTGGCTAGGCTGTTTTTCTTCTACTGGAATAAATGTGAGAAGTCTTCTGCAGATAAGAATACAACCAATAAGCACTAAAAAACTGACAAAGTCCAACACAGTGATGAAGACAAACTCAATAAACATTAAAATTTATACCTAAAACACACCAAAAAAACTTAATAAAGCTATCTCAAAAGTGAATACAAAGGCCAGCCATGGTAGCTCATGCCTGTAATCCCAGCACTTTGGGAGGCCAATGTGGGAGAATCGTGCTTTGGGGTCAGGAGTTCAAGACTAGCCAGTGCAATGGCAAGACCCTGTCTCTACAAAGTTAAAAAATAAAATTTAAAGTTAGCCAGGCACAGTGGTACAAACCTATAGTCCCAGCTATTTGGGATGATGAGGCAAGAGGATCACTTGAGGCAGTCCAAGGCTTCAGTCAGTTAGGACTGTCCCATTGCACTCCGGCCTGGGTAACACAATGAGACTCTATCTCCCCACCAACCAAACAAAAAAGAGAATCACATCCATGAAATAAATGCAGGGTCTTGTCTTAGAAAAAAACCAAAGAATCAATGAGACATCCTTGAAATTGGATATAACCATTTAAATTTGGGAAAAATAAATGATAGCCAGCTGACCACATAAATAATAACTGAAGTTATTCCAGTTTTTGTGACGAGAGACACTAAAAATATGCGAGTGTGCATGCACACACATACATCTACGTATACACATACATATCATTCCTCTGATTTCTTAAAAAGTCTTTGAAGTACGATTGAATTAAGAGATAAGCACATCTTTTGATTTTAATCGATATTAACATATTCCATCCATAAAAGCAGTAGCAAGCAATACAAACGCTCATCATCATTATATAAGTTTATCTCAGCAAAGGATGCAAAAAAAAGGTATGCTTTCTACTTACCATGAAAAAGCCAACCACTCAACCAACCAAAAAACAAGATTATTTCAGAAAGAAATTTTCCTTTATTACACCAATAGGAATTCTAGCACTCTGAGGTCCTACTGATCCCAGGGTACGATACACTTAGTAAAGAAAAAAGGACTACTTGAGTATTTTGAAAAGATGAGTAATAAAACAGAAAAGTGAATTCTAGAAAAGAAGACTGCTTTAGGAGGTTTAAAAAACTCAAATGAAAAAAGGAAGGAGCACGAAGCTGGTGAAGAAGGCCGGTTATTTATTTTTCCTTTGTTTCAATTATTGCTTTAGATAGTGACTTGGACCTAAAAAGAAGTTTCACATAGGCTTCCTCAATTTCAGACTCTAAGGCTCTGAAGCTTTCAAGCTAAGATGTTTTTCTCCAAAATAAAAAAAAAAAAAAAAAAAGAAAGAAAGAAAGGAAAAAGGGATACTTGTGATTCCTTCACACTCAGCGAAGTACGTATCTCTCTCCAATTAGGCCATGACCAACCGAAATCTACTGGGTGCAAAAATTTTTCCAGAGTAGGATGACACAAAAGCCAATAAGGCAAAACTATTAGGGACAATCTACCTCTCTTAATGGAGAAAATGAGAAATATTATCTATAGCAGCATTAGCTGACTTCATTATCTAGAATAATGAAGAGATGCCAAGACACCACAAGAACACAGAAAAACATAGCAAAACGCTATTTTTAGACTGTACAAAGATGGCACACAAGATTATGAAGAGCTAAAGAAAGCTCTTGATGAGGCTTTACTGTAATTCATTAGAATTTCATGAGTATATAAGAATTGGCACTTTGGGAAAGGGTATGCTAGAAAGCAGAAATGGAATTAAAAATTTTAAATAGGAAACAATAGATAATCCAGAGATAACCAAGAATTACTATGTTAATTTTTAATCATTAATTAACCTGTTTATAATATTAACATTTTAAATTACAAAATGGAGCCTTAAAATGGTCACAATACTTAAGAAGCAAATATTAAACATCAAAATAATTAATATGTACCTTTGAGACAGTGGGTGTTTTATTCTCTTTTGGAACAGTTAAGTGTTTTCTTTTCTCTTCTGACCTGTAAGTCTTTATTTCTTCTTCTCCCTTTGCAGTTCTCCATTCTTCTTGCCTACTGAAAGACAAAAGCCATATGCATTCATCTAGAATTTTACACATAACTTTCCTCCAAAAGGAATGTTAGGTATCAGGAAAGGAATGCTACTCCTGATGTTTTATTTTAAGATGGAAGCACATGATAAAGATTTCTGAGTTAAATTTCATAGGTTGTGGGCTCAGGATATGCAGCATTAAATGACTGAAATAATGGAAAGACAAACTCTGTCTACTTCAAGTTGATACTACTGGTTCCTGCTATGGTCTTTGGCAAACCAAGTATTAGATTCTGGGAACATGGTGATTCCTATGGTAACTTTTCCAAGAGTGAGAAATTGGATTTTTTTTTTTTTTTTTAGGATAGGGCCTATGCTTTGATCATCATCTGTTCCATATAGATAGCTGGAATCTCTTTAAAAATTCAATACAACAGAGCCTGAGGTTACACTGAAAGTCCTGAAAGAACTACACTCTTTCCAGAGACAGGGAGGTCAGGTTTCATCTACTGAAAAAACTCAAACATCAAGGTGAAACTGAACAACACAAGTTGAGGAACACTAATTTTAAACTTTAATAAAAAAAAAAAAAGAACTCATGAGAAGATAATTTTATTTTTTACTTCAATATCTTACAACTTTAAAGTTTTTGAAATGCAAGGGTATCTGAACTTTAATTCTCCCTTAACATTTCATAATAAGAAGGGAGTTAATACTAAAACACAGTGCAACTATATACTGTTGATATTTCTTTACTAGAGGATATTAATGTTATCATGTTACTGAACTGCACAATCTCCATTGTGGCTGGCCATAATTCTGAACGGAAAATAAAATGAGCAAATTTAAATCTTGTGAAAAGAAGAGGTTTGGATTTAATTTTTTGTTCTTAGTTTTTTATAAAAAAAAATTAAAGTTTTTACTGCAATAATTATATACTAACATATAGTTGCAAGAAATAACAGAGCGATTATTTGTATCCTTTATCCAGTTTCCCCAAACAGCAACATTTTACAAAACTTTGTACCCTTTGTCAGTTCCCCGAAATGGTAACATTTTGCAAAACATGGTACAACACCACAAGGAGGATGCTGACATTTACACAACCCATTGATCTTACTCAGACTTCCCCAGTTTTACTTCTATTAGTTTCTATTAGCTTGTGTGTGTGTACACAGGCATACATTGTTTTACTGTGCTTTGCAGATAGTGTATTTTTTTTTTTTACAAGTTGAAAGTCTGTGACAACCCTGCAGTGAGCAAGCTCCATTTTTCAACCACATGTGCTAACTTCGTGTCTCTGTGTCACATTTTGGTAATTCTTAAAATATTTCAAGCATTTTCACTACCGTATCTATTACAGAGATGTGTTGTCAGTAATTTTTTATGCTTCTATTGTAGTTGTTCTGAAGCGCCATGAACCTCACCTATATAGGACAATGAACTTAACCGACAAGTGTTCCGTGTGTTCCGGCTGCTCCGCCAACTAGCCATTGCCCCGTCTCCTCCCTCTCCTCAGGCCTCACTATTCCCTGAGACAGAACAATATTAAAGTTAGGCCAATTAAAAACCCTAACTGATTCAGTGAAATCATCTCTCACGTTAAATCAAAGGTAGAAATGATTAAACTCTGTGACGAAAGCGTGTCAAAAGCTGAGACAGGCTGAAAGCTATGGCTCTTGTGCCAAACAACCATGTTTTGAATGAAAAGGAAAAGTTCTTGAAGGAAGTTAAATATGCTACTCCAGCGAACATAGGAATGATATGAAAGTGAAGCAGACTTGTTGCTGATACAGAAATCGTTTTTTGTGGTCTGGAGAGAAGATCAAACCAGTTACAACATCCTCTTAAGCCAAAGCCTAATCCAGAGCAAGACCCTAACTCTCTTCTCTTCTATGAAGGTTGGAAGGGGGAAAAAGCTGCAGAAGAAAAGCTGGAAGCTAGCAGAGGTTGGTTTATGAGGCTTAAGGAAGAACTACCTGTGTAACATAAAAGTGCAGGGTGAAGCAGCAAGTGCTGATGAAGTAGCTGCAGCAATTTATCCAGAATATCTAGCTAAGATCACTGCTACTGTTTAGCTACACTAAACAACAGATTTTCAATGTAGTAACAGATCAAACAGCCATCTAAATGGAAGAAGATATCATCTGGACTTTCACAGCTAGAGAGAAGTAAAGGCTTGGCTTCAAAACTTCAAAGGAGAGTCTAAATCTCTTGTTAGGGGCTAATGAAGCTAGTGACTTCAACTTGAAGCTAATGCTCATTTATCATTCCAAAAATCCTAGGGCACTTAATAATTATGATAAATACACTCATCTTGTGCTCCATAAATGAAACAACAAAGTCTAGATGGCAGCACATCTGTTTATAGCATGGTTTACTGAATATTTTCAGCCCACTGTTAAGACCTACTACTTGGAAAGCATGATTGCTTTCATAACATTACTGTTCACTGACAATGCACCTACTCACCCAAGAGCTATGATGAAGATATACAAGGTGATTAGTGTTATTTTCATGCCTGTTAACCGAACATCCATTCTGCAGCCTATGGGTCAAGGAGTAATTTTGATTTTCAAGTCTTTTTATTTAAGAAATTACATTTCATAAGGCTATAGCTGCACTAGATAGTTACTCTGCTAACAGATCTGGGCAAAGTACATTGAAAACCTTTTGGAAAGGATTCACCATTCTAGATGCCGTTAAGAACATTTATGATTCATGGGAAGAGGAAAGCTATCACCATTAATAGGAGTTTGAAAGAAGTTGATTCCCACCCTCACAGATGATTCTGAAGGCTGAAGACATCAGTGGAAGAAGTTACTGTAGATGTAATGGAAACAGGAGAACTAGAATTAGATGTGGCAACTAAAGATGTGACTGAATTGCTGAAGTTGCATAATAAAACTTTAAACGAATGAGGAGCGGCTCATGGATGAACAAAGAGGTTTCTTGAGGGAGGCTACTCTAGTGAATATGCTTTGAACACTGCTGAAATGTTAACAAAGGATGTAGAAAATTATACAAACTTGGCTATGCGCAGTGGCTCATGCCTGTAATCCTGGCACTTTGGGAGGCCGAAGCGGGTAGATCACAAGGTCAGGAGATCAAGACCATTCTGGCTAACATGGTGAAACCCTGTCTCTACTAAAACTACAAAAAATTATCCAGACGTGGTGGCATGCGCTTGTAGTCCCAGCTACTGGTGAGGCTGAGGCAGGGGAATTGCTTGAACCTGGGAAGTGGAGGTTGCGGTGAGCCGAGATCATGCCACTGCACTCCAGTGTGGGCAATAGAGTGAGACTCCGTCTCAAAAAAAAAAAAAGGAAAAGAAAATTACATGAACTTAATAAAACAATGGTAGGGTTTGAGGGGACTGACCCCAGTTTTGAAATAAGTTCTACACAGAAATACTTCATGTGTAGTCAAATCAATGTGGCAAACTTTATTATTGTCTTATTTTAAGAAACTGTCACAGCCATTTCAACCTTCAGCAACCTCCACTCTGATCAGCCAGCAGCCATCAACATCGAGGCAAGACCCTTCACCAGCAAGAAGAGTATAATCATTGAACGTTCAGATGGTTGTTAGCAGTTTTCAGTGGTAAAGAATTTTCAAATTAGGTATGTAGTTTTTTTCAGACATAATCATATTGTACAATTAACAGATTATAGAATAGTATAACTATAACTTTTATATGCACTGGGTAACAAAAAAAAAAAAAAAAAAAATCATGTGAGCTACTTTATTGCACTGGTCTGGAACCAAACCTGCAATATCCCCAAAGTATGCCTGTATCTTAGCAACCTAAATCTGTTCTCCATTCCTATACCCTTGTCATTTCAAGAATATTTCATAAATAAAATCATATAGAATATACGTTGAAATTATTTTTCTCCACTCAGCATAATTCCCTCAAGATTCATACCCATTGTATCAATATGTTGTTCCTTTTTACTGCACAGCAGTAGTCCATGGTGTGAATATACCATTGTTTAACCATCTACCCACTGAAATAACATCTGGGTATCTTTCTGGCCTTTGGGTATTACAAATAAAGCTGCTATACATTTATGTTCAGGTTTTTGTGTCAACATGAGTTTTCATTTCTTTAGGTTAAATTCCCAGCATTGCAACTGCTGGGTCATATGACAAAAGCAGTTGCATGTTTAGGATTTTAGGGAAGTGCAAAGCTGTTAGGATTTTGAGAAGTGCAAAACTGTTTCCCAAAATGGTTCTCGTTTTACATTCCCACTAGCAATGCATGAGTATTCAGTTTTCTCTCCATCCTCTCTAGCATTTGGTGCTGTCACTTATTTTCATTTAACCATTCTGAGAAGAATGCAGTGATACTTCATTGTGGTTTCAATGCAGTGATACTTCATTGTGGTTTCAACTTGTATTTCCCTAATGGTTAATGACATTGATTATCTTTTCATGTGCTTATTTGTCATCTATAGATCCTTTTTGGTAAATGTCTGTTCATGTCTTTTGCCCATTCTCTGGATGGATTATGTTTACTATTGAGTTATGAGAATTATTTCTAAGTCACTTAGCCCTGTGTTGGGTATGTCATTGCATTCCATTTTAATTAATGGACGAGGCTGACCCATTTCAGAGAGCCTTTTAAAAGGAAACTTTAGACTACCCATTGTAGAGATTCTCAGGAAGATTCCCATAGGATGAGTACAAAGTTTTAGAGACAAAGCTCTAGGAAGCCCAAAGAAAGAATATCTGTTAAAGTTATGGCCACAGTCTTGCTTTACCATAGGCCAATGAATAGTTAAGCCCAATGATAAAGGAATAAAAGGATGAAGAATATTTGAAGAGACACTAATCTTCCTCACTCCTCAGGTTCCCTTCCATGTGCAGGAGCCTCAAGCAACAACTAGCGACCACATCTCCTGACTCATTCCTCTCCAGAGGAGGAGTAAATTAGTCAACTGACATGCTCTGGAAGAAAAACCCAGCTTAGCACAGCCCAGCCTTATGCCATTGTGTGCAATTATACATTTTGTCCTGCATCTTAAAGAAGCAAACCACATGTCCCAGAAGGGGAGAATAACTGTGGCCCACTGCTATCTGTGTCTGGGGAATATCACTTTGTTACTGTTATGGTTTTTGTGGAATATTACTTTTTGTTACTGATATGGTTTTTATTTCATGAAATAAAAAGTGATAGTAACAAACATTTGTTTAACCATTGTTTAACCATCTACCCACTGAAATAACATCTGGGTATCTTTCTGGCCTTTGGGTATTACAAATAAAGCTGCTATACATTTATGTTCAGGTTTTTGTGTCAACATGAGTTTTCATTTCTTTAGGTTAAATTCCCAACAGTGCAACTGCTGGGTCATATGACAGGCAGTTGCATGTTTAGGATTTTAGGGAAGTGCAAAACTGTTAGGATTTTAGGGAAGTGCAAAACTGTTTCCCAAAATGGTTCTATCGTTTTACATTCCCACTAGCAATGCATGAGTAATTCAGTTTTCTCTCCATCCTCTCTAGCATTTGGTGCTGTCACTTATTTTTCATTTTAACCATTCTGAGAAGAATGCAGTGATACTTCATTGTGGTTTCAACTTGTATTTCCCTAATGGGAAATACAGTCTGATTTACTATATGTCTTATTTTCCACGTTATTTTTCAATTATTTCAGAATTGGTGTTGAAAAAATGGGCATTATTTACTTGACCTCTTTCAAACCTTAACATTAGAATTAAAAAGTAAACAAGGATCTAACTAAAAATATACCATGTGAGTTAATTAATTTATGATGGATAACTGGGCACATATGTCATAAGAAAGTATAAATGTATACCTTTGGTGTGTATTTAATTCTAAATCCTAAAGTAAATTCAAAGTATGTCCAATCAAAAAGCATAATCTATATGAACATTAAGACCAAAATTTTAATTATATAATTACTACTATCTTCTAAGTTGAAAAACTAGACAATCTTAAATTCAAATTCACATTTTGACCTTCATACTTAGAACATATTTCATACACAGCAATCAGCATTAATTAGGTTCATATAGGCCTCATTCAAGAGTATTTCATCAGTGAAGATCAAAAGGAACTGGATATAAAGTTCCCTCACGGCATGGTCTAATAGAATAGAATTTTATTAAATCAACACTTTTAAAGTCATAAATGTATACTTTTAAATATACATATTTTAATAAATATAAAATCTTTTGTATTTTCCAATTTTTTTTTTGCATCTGAATATCATGTGAATGACTGGATATAGCCATTAAAAAAATTAAATAATTATAACAAACTTTATAAAATGTATTTTAAGATATAGTTAAACAGGACAAACCAAGACTGAAATATGCTACTCAATAAAACCTTCCATTTGGTCAATCCAAATTTATGATTTTCCTGTTGACCTTAACACATATCATTCTTATCATTTACATAAATCATTCTAGAAATAAACATATTTTAGAAACTTAATTTTTCTACAGTCATGAAATAGTTTATACTATCAGATAAATTTCAGAGGAATTACAGAGCTGAAAAGGTATTATGCTGTGAATGCTGTTAATTCAAAATGAACACAAGGAACTATGGTACATAAAAATTCACAACTTCCCTTACCTGGCTATACCAGCTGATAGCTCGGGTACTACCACCCTCCGACTCCAAGCCACAAGATCCCGCTCTGTGGCTATTTCACTTCTTGGTGCATTGCTGTGCATTTGCCGTACACCTTCAATTTGTCCACTACGTCTCAGTCCTACGTTTGGTGGTGAATGAACCTCTGAGGTAGAAGTTACAGAGCCTAAGTGAAAAAGTTAGTATATTAAGTTCTACTTAGAAATATTTCTCCATTAGTTTATAACAGAAAAAAGAGACAAAACACTACCTTCCACATGAAACTACTTACTGTGGCAAAATAATTAAATTACCCTATCAGGAACTAAACCACAGGCAAAAGTGGTTTAATGAAAACAAAACATCCTTATTCAGTTGATTAGATAAATCAATGAATCATAACTATAGACTATTAAGCCCCAAGGATATAAAATCATTACCTTAAAAAAATGCTGAATATTTTTGGGAAAACTTCGTAAGAAGCAAAATAGACAAACCCAAGAGTATTTATGGTTCATAAATTTGTTTTGACTCTTCAAGTTTAATAATATACAACAACAAGGGTGATGAGATGTTCAAGAATGTGGCTTGGACTACTCTACATGTTTCCTATAGAAAATGTAGAAGAATATACACATTTAAAAACTCATTATCTCTAACTTGAAATCTCGTTATGAACCATTTTCTTAGGTCATTAAATATTCTTCAAAACCCTGATCATTTTGGCAGCCTAGTATTTCATTTTATGGATGTACCATAATTTTTTAAATCACTTAACACTGTGGGAGGTTTAGGCTGTTTCAAATTTTTAAATATTGCACTTAAAATGGAATACCTGCTTACCTCTACTTAAACGGTTGGTATTACTGATAGCTGCTTCACCAGAACGTCTCAGGTCTTGCTCCTGTTGTAGTCTTTGAATCATGCTGTCTAGTGGGCTGATCTCCTGGTTTGCTTGCTGACTTAAAACTTGATTCAGTCCTATGCAATACCACACAAAATATTATGAATACTTTAGTTACTATTTAAACCACTTTACTCACCAACCTCACTTATGAGTTCAGAATCTAACATAAATGTTGCTTGGGTAAAAGACTTAAATGATCAACTGTAAATGATGGCAGTTGAAAAAAAAAAAAAGAAAGCATCTGTCCATCTTAGTTTATCAAAAATAATGACGAGGATGGTTGCTAACTTTTACTAAGTGTTTATCATGATTTAGATATTCATAATCCTTATGGTAACTCCATTAGGTATATATAAACAACTCCACTTTATAGATGAGAAAACCAAAATACTGTTCGAAGTCACACATCTAATAAGTGGCAATAGTAAGGTTTTCCACTTAGATCATAGTTTCTTTTAAAATGACACATCTGATTACTCACTTTCTTAAAAAAAAAGTTTACTGCCTTGTTTATTCAATAAATTATTGACTTTCTACTATACATTAGGAACTACGCCAGGTACTGAGATCTAGTGGTAAATAAGGGACATGAAGATCCTTGTCCTTTAAGGAGCTAACATACTGATGGGGAAAGTAAACAATAACCTAGGAGTTAATGCACAGTATGAAAGAAAGGTGTTGAAATAAAGAAGGTGATGGTGGGTCAGAAAACTCAGAGAAGCCCTCTCGGACAAGGTAGCATTTGAGCTGAGATTTAAATTACTTAGCCACATAAAGAGCTAGGTAAGGAACACTTCAGGTAGAAGGCAAGAGGTACAAAGGCTGTGAAGCAGGGAGAAACTTGTATTTTAACCCATCCAACTTTTCCAGCATCAATTCTTACTTGTACCACTCATACAGGACCACTTGACTTCTGCCCTTCTAACAAGAAAACACCTTCATGCATTGAAACTTCTGAACACAATATTCCCACTATAAAGATAAACATGATAATCTCTAACTTACCATTCCAGCACCAACTAAAATGGCACCTCCATGATATTTCCTCTGTGAAATCTTTCCAACTACTTCTGAAAGAATTAGCTGCTACCCTCTTTCACTTCCTTAAACAATCCATACATATCTAAGTATTCAAACCAATATAAAACATAAATGAAGCCCAAACCAGTTCGTAACTTAAAAGCATGAACTGTCTCATTTATCTTAATATTATCTAAATCTAGTACAATGCTAGGCATTAAAAAATATTCTCTTGCTGAATAAATTTTTAAAAGGTATATTATAAAATATATGAAAAATATTGCCGTGAGTATAAAGAAGGGAGCAATTAGTATCAGCCATACAAGTATATGAGAAGATCTGATCAGCTCAGAATTTTAGGGTGGGCTTAAATGGTAAGAAAAGATAGAGAGGATATTCTGAAATGAAGTAGTAGTAAGAAGGGTAAACGGAAAAAGAAATTACATGTATTAAATGCATAACATTAAACTAAAATTCAATAGGATAAAATAACTTGTTTAAGGTCACCAAGGTAGAAGTGGCAAAGTAGACAGAAGTAAAAGTTCAAATGTCTTATACTTCTTTCCCAGTTTGCTGTTGGAAAAACATGTTGGAATTCTGACGAATAATCTGATATAGCTCAAGTTTACAACTGAAAAAGAACACATTTAAAGTATATTGTATGGTGTCAATATAACAAGATAATTTATTGTTACAATAACTCAAATCTGTTTTTCCCTAACTCTCAGAGATTTCCCACAATAAATTTTATTATCTGGATTTGCACATAAAACACTAAGGTTTTTTTGAAAAGCATTTTGCTTTTGTTCTATTTTTGTATTAACCATTTTTAGACTCAGTAACTCTAAAACATGACAAAAAAAGATTTTTACCCTGAATTCTGAGAATTAGAACACTGAAAAATTTTGTGACTCATTACAAAGCCAATATTATTGCTATGGATTCTTATGGATACCAATAACTGGTAAGTATTTCATTTTTAAGATTATGCCTACTTTACATGGAAGAAAGAACAAATGAGAATCAGAGCTGCGGTTATAGTCCCTGTGATTCTATGATACAATACCACTAAATTTTGAATTCTCTCAACTTTCAGGACTGGAATATCATAGTTACAGGATTAAATATTGTTTATGAGAGCCCTTAATAAATTGGTAAATGGACTTAAAAAGTAATTAGGTAGCACTGATACTTTAATAAATGAGTCTTTTCCTTATTTCCTTATGTCTGAAACCCTAAAGTAGCTATCAATTTTGAGGCTTGGGCACAATCTGATTTTGCCAATTCCTCTCCAAGAGACTAAAGACATTTCTCTTAATTTCAGTTCTATGACCAAAACTTCTCTAATACTGAAGCTTACCTAACCTGAATATCTGCCCATACTTCTCAAATACTATTTATTCTCTGAGTTCATGCTGTGTCCATGTAATGAGACACATGAATCTCACAAACTCCAGATATTCAAGTCCGCTGGACTGCACTACTCTATCAGTAGCAGCAGGAATGATTCCTCTAATGCTTCTTCTCACCCTCCATTCTAAGTGGACATGTCTAATTCCAAGAGCAGCCCTTTCTATCCAGTATGTCCATCTTTACTGCAACTTCATGCTAAATCTTTTGAGAAAAATAAGATGCAGGTTTGAAGTTGATTTTTTTCATTATTTAAAAGTCACTCCACGCAAAAGCTACTTAGAAGCTTTTGTCAATTAAAGTCTAGAACTTAAAATATTTTCATAAATATCTTCTAGTCTAAAAATATAGAAGTATTCATAATGACAAAACTGGTTTAACCTTCTTTACAGAACATTTCCATTATTTTTACTTAATACACTAGTGCTACATTTCTTGTCAAAAGAGGGAAAGCAGTTTGTAGACTTTGACTCCATTTTAACTCTCACTTAATTCTTCAACACTCCATTACTTCACTAAAACAGTTCTCAACACTTTCCATGTCAATCCTCTTATAAACCTTTAAAAGTTGACAACTTCTTAAAACATCTTCAATGTGAACAGGCCATCTCCAATCTCTCTCACATCATGCTATTATTCCCTTTAGTAATATTCATCACAATTTGAACTATGTATTTGTTTATTCTAATAAACTGTGTTTATTAATCTACTAACCCATTCCGTGAAAGCCAGGATCATGTTTGTTTAATTCACTACTGAATAGCCATGGCTTAGCAGGTGTCAGAGACAGAAGAGATTATCAATAAATGTTGCTGAGTAAGTACATGAATTGACTTGTTTCACACCAAATACAGCAACTACCTTATTGATCCCTAGGTGTTACAAACGGATAGTAAATCAAAATTATTGCTGTAAATCGACAGCGTTCCATAATTAACTTGTAATCCTTAAGCATGATCAAAGACCTATATAAAAGTATAAAACAATACTTTTACTTCTTATCCACTTAACAAATGAAAACAAAGTTTTACTCAATTAGCAATTTTAACAGTTCAGTGGGAAGAAGAAAATTTGACTGTCTAAGAAAAAGAGCACCTACCTGAGGAAGTTACTCCCATCTGAGGGATGAGTTGCTCCTCCCTGCAATTTTCACGGCCAGGAACTAATCTTTGATATCTTGATGGATGAGGGTTACCATCAACATCAACCAAAAAAGGGGGAGGCATAAGGTGAGGTGCTTGCTGAGTCTGTTCATCTAACACAAAATTGTTGGCATCACGAATAAGTGGCCGATAATCACTATGAAAGAACATCTGATCTGCTATCTGTAAAAAGAAAAGTTCATAAAAGACTGGAAAAATAAAAATGTATAATTATAGAAAAAAGTCTACGACATTTCTAATAGAAAGCAAACATCTGAATACAAATAATGGTATTAAGCAACAATTTTCAAAATATTATTTTCCTGAATTAATTGTAAATAGGTCTTTTAATTTTCTACTTTAAGTATTATGATCAGAAAAGTAGCTGCTTTAAATTTTCTCTGAAACAAGGAAGAGATTACACACAGGAGTCCCCTCTTATTTGCAATTTTGCTTTCTACGGTTTCAGTTACCTGTGGTCAACCTGACTCCAAAAATGCTAAACAGAAAACTCCAGAAATAACCAACTTGTAAGTTTTAAACTGTGCACTTTTCCAAAAAGCATAATGAAATCACATGCCATCTCACTTGGGACACAAATCATCCCTTTGTCCAGCATATCCACATTGCCTAGATATGCTACCCACCCATTACTGTATAGGAAAAACACAGTGTGCATAGGGTTTGGTACTCTCCAAGGTTTTAGGCATCCATTTGCAGTCTTAGAACATATTCCCTGTGGATAAGGGGAGGTTACTGTGTAGAAAAGCTACTACTAAAAATAAGCTATTCAATATTCAATTTTAAATTAAAAAGGTAACATCAAATCTAGTCATAAATCATTCAACAGTCTTTTTACTTCCACACAGCTACCGTGTTTTATTTTAAATCCTTAGGTATACAGTAAGTATGATTTGTGTAATATTACTATAAAATCAACATAAGATTTTCTAAGGGTTAATAAGCATTTTCTCTAAATGTTTTGAGATGATATCAAATTATTAATATAAATTCAACCAGGACATAAATTTTATTATATAAAATTTCACTGGTTAATTTGCAGTTTTTTAAACTAAATTATAAACTACTCAATATTTACTATCATAATCTTTTATACCATTCCACCACAAGTAATCAATTTACTTCTTTTAGTCACTGATCTTAAAGTTGAGGTCTTTAAATGCTGAGCACAGTGGCAGGGCATATGCCTGCAGTGCCAGCTAATTATTTAGTAGGCTGAAATAAGAGGACTGTTTGAGCTCAAGAATTCAAAGACAGTCTAGGCAACATAATGAGACATTTCACACCCACCCTGTAAAAAAAAGCTCCCCAAAACTGGACAAGATCTTTAATAAAAAACATTACAATCAGGTAATACAATACACTTTTAAGAACCTTATGAAAGCCACAGATTTGTACCCTAGATAAGTACATATTATCTATATAAATAAAACATTTTACATAATTTCAGAGTCCCACTATGGATAACATCTTCCATCTCCAGTTTATATACCCCATGTTAAGAATTCCAATCTAGATTGCTCCAGCAGGCTAAGAGTAATTTTTTTCCTGAAATATGTAGATTTTTAAATAATAAGCCCTAATAAAGTGAGATTTAACTGCTGTCTTCACCTTCCTTTCCAAAACTAAGTCTCCAGACTACTTAACATAAGATTCTTCCAATTTTATCCTGAATGTAAAGACGCTGATTCTCACCCACTCCAAAAACATGCAACCCCTAAACATGCATTAAAAAAATATAAGGACATGATAAATAGTCATCATACTCTACCTTATCATATTTGCTACTGGACCCAAAGCCAAAAATTAAAAGATGTCCATGAGAGTCGGTGCAAGCAAAATGCTGACCATCAGGAGAGCATTTGCAGTCAAATACTGCGCCATGTCCTTGGCCTTCAATCTGAAATATATTTAACCAACAGTAAGAAAACTACCATTAAAATGTAAATAATTGGTCACTATTATTAAAATAATTTTATGATAAAAGAAGTATACATCCTAATGAAGTGAAGATTAAGCAAAACAAGCATGGTATGGTAATAAAATTTATGAATATTCATGTAAAGTGCCAGATTAATAGCCTTCAAAAATAAAGTATTTATCCACAGACCAAACACAATTCAGGAAATAAAAGAATACCAATCTCCCCCACCCATAGAATTCTGCTTCATGTTTTAAACTCAGATTTAACACATAATTACGTCTTAAACTCCATCTATCTCTGTTCAATCATGCCCTTTCTGCAAAAGCTGACATGTAGCAACTGTACCGATTTTTTGGTAACTCTTGGAAGTAGTAGCCAGAGATCACTGCTCAAATGACACTAGATTTTATTATTTTTGGTAATAAATTCCCTGGTAGTCTGACTCGTCTTTTAAATGGTGAATTTCAAAGGTTAAAGAAAAGGTTTTTTTTACCTGATAATTGTTTTCTGTTTTCCAGTTCCATTAATCCAGAACGAATGGGTTTCCTCCCTGCAACCTGTCAATCAAACAGAGGTGGCCAATCACCACTCTGAATTTTTTGCTCTCAGTGCTTCTTCAGACTATGTTCCAGTTGAAAACTTCTTTAGCAGTGTTCTGAAAGAGGTAAAAATTCTACCCTATCTAAAGCACATCTAGGGACTGAATTTCAGAAACAACTAAAATAGGGAGTTGACTCCCTAACAAATAACAACTAAGGATGATTTTCAACAAATGCTGTTGGATTTCTGGATTAGCAGAATCGGAACACACACACATTATCAGGTAAGAAATACCTCCTTTCTGTTCCGGTATCCACTGATCTAGAACTAATGGAGTTTTATTAGTAATATCCCAGGAAATGTTTGGAAAAGAGAAAAGTGGTTTCTTTCTTTAGTATTAAAAATGCGGCATAAGGATGGATGTACAGTTCACCAAATGCAGAAGTTAAAATTCAGAAGAAGAACAACGGATTTCTCAAGGAAGGTTTGCATTTTGGTAAAAAGAGAAAACTCATTTCTATAAAAGAAAGGACTTTACCTAAGAAGTTAATACAATACCACAAATGGGATTGCCTGAAAAAGAAAACTAGCTTTTTCCTTTGGCTTGCTAAAAAGAAGAAATGTGTGCAACAGTGCTTATTAATGCTCTTTTGGATGGTTACAATAATAGAAAAGAAAGAATAACTTTTTTAAAAATGTAACCATATTAGATAAACCTAGTAAAATTATCTAATGTTTAATACATACAAAAACTTGTAAAAGAAAGAAAATGAATCATAAGTGAAACAGGATTATATCTCGAGTGTGAAGAAAGTTGGAGGATGGTAAGATAGGAGAGGAAGGTAACTGATTCCAAGTCTACTTTAAAACAATTCAAAAACAAGAAAGAATATAACTATTTCTCCAGATTACCACAAGGGTACCAGTAGCCATACAGCTAGGCATTTGCCAAAAATGAAAGACTATAAGTAGAAATTCAGGATTCAAGTCTTTATTTTTCAGTGTTTTCCTAGGCAAATAAAAAAAAAGTTACATGAACTGTTATAAATAAGCAACCACATGAACAAAGTATACCTCTAAATAGACTTTTATATCAAAAAGTAAAAATCAGGGGATTGAAACTGCCTTAGCCATGTGTTGTTAAATGATTTTTTTTTTAACTCCGTTCACTGAAAATTTCACAGAAGGCAAGAGAGAGAACAAAAAGCAACTACTTTGTAAATCTACTCTAACAAATATTTCCAGAAGTGCAATTACAAGCCTAAGATCACAATTTTAAGTAGACAGTGGAGCGGAGACTCGAAAGTAGTAGAGTCCGATGTAGCAATTTCACAGGAAATATAACAAAGGCTCCTAAGCCTGGTATCCTTCATGTGCTGTTTAAACAGACATTTTTTTCTTTCCGGGGGTGGGGCTGGGGGCAAATAGGACTGATCAACCCTTGACCCTATTATTTATCAATGTTGCCACATTTACAGTTAGTAGATCTCTAAAATAATCTTTGGGGACAGCTGAAGCTTATAAAGCTCTGAAATACCAAAGAAAAAATAGCAATCATATTTAGGATGCCTGTGTGTCCTATATAACACATTCCATTGTGAATATGGCAAGACAATATTAATTTTCTTGGTATAAGGCATCTGTTTAACTCCAAAGTGACTTTTATATGGAGAAAATGAAAGTACATTTCAATCATATCAAAAAAAAGAAAACGATATTATTTGTATTAACCATTTGTTTACGAAAGGAGGCATTAAAAGAATCCGCTTTACTCATGAACCGGTTAGAAAAGGTGCCTCTAACCTCATCAATTAAAAGGCAATTCTCTATTAATGGATGCTCAGACAATAAACACCCATACCTATAAACTGCAGACTAGGTTTTCCAAGACCAGGCTTCCAAACAGTTGATGATATAAAACAGGAAAATATTTTACTTTCTCTACATTAACTAAAAATATCCTAGCTGGTTTTAAAATGTATGGTATGATTAACTAAGCCAGTCAAAAGAAAAGAATTTTATCTTTTTAAACAAGGGCCAAAGTATTTATGAGTAAGAACTCTCAAAGACAAAATTTTAAATGAAAGCACTATTTGAATATTCACATCTACTAGAAAGCAATGAGGCTTATCTTCAAAAATGAAAAGAAAATACCCTCTCTAACCAAATGAAAGGTATATGAGACTATCATAAAATTAAATGCCCTGCATAGCAAGAAAATGTGTCAACATGAAATTTAATACTACATATAGCTTATGCTAGCTAGCACTTACTGCAGTTGTAGTAAAATAATTACAAAACAGAGTGAAATTAATAAGTAATGACAAATTACCAAAATAAGTGCATTTTGGATGAAGTATTCCTCTAATAAAATCAAGTATGCTTGTTATGCATTATTTTGGACATATATAAAGACCACATAAAGCTCATACACACTAAATATCAATAAGGTTTAGTCGAGATAATCTATGAGACAGTATTTACCAATAACTGTGAAAGCTTCAAAAAGAATAAGAGGACTAAAAAGAAAAGAAATAAAGGCATATTCAGCAATTATTGTATTTTGTTTTATTTTTAAAAGGAGATGGGAGAATCGGATGTGTTAAAATAGTGACTCTCTTATTAGAAAATTCTCATACTGACTAAAGAATTCTGTAAATACTACCAATACATGAGTAGTATAAACTTGTTAGGCATTTAGAGATTTATACTGAACTTTAAAGAAATTAAATGATACAAAAATTTATGAGCTAAGAGCTCTGATGAGGACAGACTCATTAAGGAAAGAATACTAATGCCTTTTCTGAGGGAGGGTACTATATACAAGTAACGTAATTTTCGTGAAGCAGAGAGATGAATGATTAGACAGAGGAATGAGATTGAAGACCCAAGACATCTCTCCATCAGTAATAGGTAAATCACCTACTCTCTGTGGAATGATGGAGATAAATGATCACTAGAGTCCAGTTCTAAAATCCTACCATCTGAGGTTCGGAAAGGTATGTTGGAAAAAACTGGACAAATCCAGAGATGAAGTATATTAAAAGCAGAATGCATACTAAAATTCAGGGTCTAAATTATATCAATCATGAAGAATATATAGAGAGTGAATATGAGAAGTATACGCTTCTAGACAAAAAACCTTAACACAAAGTAGGAAGGTTAAAAACTATGGGCTATCTTAGGCAGAACCATCCTCTTCTAGAGTTATTTCAATTCTATTAGCAGGGTCAGTTTATCTTGTTCTTTTTTTTTTTTTTTTTTTTTTTTAACATATCACTGATTAAAAGCATCTTACCTAGGAAACACTCCAAAATTTAAAATTATGCATCTTTTAAAATATCCTAATTTTATGAAATGGACTCATATACCAAGAATGAAAAGAGCTGATAAATGGAATTTATGCTAAGAATAACCCTTAAGAAGTCCTTCCTTATCTATTAAAAAAACTTTTAGATTAGAGCTTGCTAACATAGGGAAAAATATGTACACTAGATACAGAAGAGACTCAGATGTATATCTGAAGTAAGTGTTGGATCCTGGCCAACATAGTGAAACCCTGTCTCTACTACAAATACAAAAACTAGCTGGGCGTGGTGGTGCTCGCCTGTAGATCCAGCTACTTGGGAGGCTGAGGCAGGCAGGGGAATTGCCTGAACCCGGGAGGCGGAGGTAGCAGCGAGTCGAGATTGTGCCACTGCACTCCAGCCTGGTGACAGGGCGAGACTCCATCTCAAAAAAATAAATAAATAAATAAAGCATTGGCTATCTTCTCATCATTACTACAGTCATTATATAAACAAAGACGACCTTAAAAGAAACTATCCAAATTCCAACAGTTCAGGTGTTATCAAATTACTTTAAAATATTGTTACTGCATGGCTATTTTAATACTGAAAGCTCTTTAACTTACGCCAAAATAAAAAAGAAAACTGCTGGACCTGACTTGATAAAATCAGATCAGATTATTATATAAAATGAAAAATATATATATTATATAAAAGTGATTCTAAAAATCAGCTCTAGATTTTCATCAAAAGAAAAATATTACCAAAATAAGTATCTTCAAATTTAACTGCATTTTGTACCAATATTCTGATTTGTCTGGGGAGATCAGTACTATTGATCAAGCCTTCCTTGTGGTTTATTTTCTTTTGGTCTTTTTGGCATATTAGCATGGTGTGTCTTCCTTGACACACTCTCTAGGGATTGTGACCCCTTTTCCATTCTGCTAAATATATGAGTATTTCCCAAAGTTTACTTCTAAGCCTTCTGCACTTCCTTGTCCTGTCTCCATGAGGAAGTAAACTATATTCTATAGGAAACACTTCAATATTTTCTTCTTTTTACTCCTAGTCCCTCTAAGTAGTCTATCTCCAAGTGCCAGCTGGCCATTTCCACATAGGTAGTTCAACATAATAAACATTATTACAAAT